TGTGCTGCAATAAAGGTAAGTAGTGGTTTCTATTTTAATTTTAAACATTTGCATTAAAGCATCTGCCTTAATGCTAGAATACACATTTGAGACAAATGACTTATTTTAAAATAACTGTACAAACAGTACAGAGTGTTACTTTAAAGGCCGCTCTAAGTACCACACATCTTACTATAGTTATTACTGTACAAGGATTTGAGTGTCATCATTGTTAAGCTGTTCAAATATGTTGCTACCTGCATAATGATGAATCTAATCACTTCCAGGGGAAACAGATTCTGGAGGCAGAGAAAGTCCCATTTTTTGTTTGAAGAAAAAACAAAACAAAACAAAAACCTCAAAACAAAAAAGCAAGCAAAGACAAATGAATAAACTAAACAATAAGAAGTAGAGGTTATAATGGTTTTAATTAGATATACATGTCAAATGTAATATGGTTATTGGTTAAAGGGATCCTACAGTGCCATGAAAACAAAGCAGTTTTCCTGGCACTACAGGTTTAATAGGTCCCCTCCTCCCTGGTGCCTCCTCCTGCGGGGCTGAAGGGGTTAAAACCCCTTCAGCCACTTACCTGACTCCAGTGCCAATGTTCCTTTGGGGCTGGGTCAGGCTCCGCCCATGCTCCTCTGCCGGCGACGTCCGCTAGCGGGTGAGACCTAATGCACATGCGAGGCAATGGCCGCGCGCGCATTAGAGCTCCCCATAGGAAAGCATAATTTAATGCTTTCCTATTGGGGAAAATCTGACCCTCGAGGTAAGGGCAGACTTAGAGCTGCAATGTTTTACATTGCAGCACTAAGTGCAAAAGGGACACAGCACCCAGACTACTTCCATTAGCTGAACTGGTCTGGGTGCCTACAGTGTCCCTTTAAGTTAGAGTAGCTGAACTGGTTTTATACAAATAGGACTAGAATCTAACCTTGAGTGGAGTATAAGGTTTTCTCCAACCCTTTGTAGAATAATGCCATATTTGCGTTATTCTTAAGGGTCCCTCCAAAAGAAAGGCTCAATGTTTTAAAATAAGTTTCAGAACCTTTATCCAGTGTCACTCAAAGCTCCAAGGCCTTCTCTTATGGAAGCTCTTATTGGAGGATTTAAATGAGCTCAGAGCACATGTGGTAGAAGAGGAAGGGCGTGTGGGGATAGGTGTGTGTGTGTGTATATATATATATATATATATATATATATATATATATATATATATATATATATATATATATATATATATATATACACACACATATACACATACACACACACACACACACACAGACACACTTGCTAATGGAGGGGGCAGGGAGTGCTGCTTTCAGTGTGGAAGGGAGGAGCAATTACATCTGTTGGCAGCGTGTGCAGTGCACAGACAACTAACCAACTAGTCTGGAACACAGAGTACCAGCCTGCCTATGTCATGTTCTGGGGGTGAAACTTGCCCCAGGGACACAATTGCCAATACTGTAGTGTGCAGTCTTTGAAGCTGAAACATTGCACATCCAGACTCCTAGCAACATGACCGCTTCATAAAGCAGAAGTGGTCATGGTAGTTAGAGTAACCCTTTAAACATTGCATATGCTAATTCCTACAAAGTGGAGCTGGACTGAATCATGAATGGAAATGGATCAGGTTTATTTAAACAGTCAAATTTAATAAACCAACAGCATTTTCAGAAGGAGGGAAAATGTCAGCTTGTTATTGGTCTCTGTAAAATATACAAATAAAAAAGACAAACAACTTTATCTTATTTGCAATACAAACTAATTTTCACACAAATGGCAGCACCCACTGTACCAAAGTGACAAAAAACTCTGATATGCATTTCCAAAACAGCCACAAGACCTTGATTATTCCCCTCACACTTGCTTATGTTAAAGTGTATCAATTATGGTGCATACAGCAAATAAATAATAAAAGTGAATAGAAATTTCATATTTAAACTGCACTAGCAGAATAGCTAGACATGCTGAGATGCTGGAAATAAACTCAACTAGTCAGGTTCTTTGGGGGGATTGTTGCTCAGTAGGGTCACCCACTGCCAACATAGATGACAGAGTTACACTCATGTAACACCCACAAACCTGGGATCATGGAGATGCTAACAGCACTGGTTTGGTGGTACACATTTAGTTAACATATCCTTAAGCACTATATTGTACCTCTGCAGCCTCACTGTAGCCCCACCCTGCCACGTAGGCAGCAAATAAAGGATTAATAGTCTTTTGTTCACTTACCTGATTCCAGTGCCAATGTCCCTCGGAGATGGCTCAGGCTCTGCCAACATCATGGCGATCCCAGAATCAAATGCACATGAACGGCAAATTCTGTACACGCATTAGGCCTTCCCCACAGAAAATCATTGAACCAATGCTTTCCTATTTGGATTTTGAAGAGGCTGGACGCTGTGAAACACTAGGAAGCACCTCTTGGGGCTGTCTGGTAGACAGCCACTAGAGGTAGTGTTAGGCTAAGGGAACAGGGACACTGAACCCAGACCACTTCTGGGTACCTATAGTGTCCCTTTAAGATTAAAAATACACTCCAAGCACCATAACCACTTATGCTAATCTCATATGTTATAGTACAAGAAAGGTTTTGAATGACAGGCACACACTGTTCAAGCATACACTCCACTTTGGGACTCTTAATTGGAAATGCACTTTCTGGAGTTCAGATTCTTGCTTTCACGATCTGGCAGTCTTACTACCGATGTCTTGGCTTCTGATATGGCAAATATCAGGTGAAAGCCATTTCCTGATTGCATAGTATTAACTGTAAAGACTTACAGGGAAGAAGTAACAATCTGAGACTAGTTTTCATGGTTTGAACTTGGCACATAAAGCCTAGCTAAGGAGCATCTTCACTCTGCAGAATACACTGGCATTCTAGTCTACGCTATGCACCCAATGTATTATTGGAGAAAGCCATTTTTAGTTAATCTGGACAATGCCCAAGAGCACAAATCAAGTTCCGTGCAGTAATCAGTGGGAAAACTTGACTGGCCTTTAAGAGCCCTGACATTTACCTCATCAAACACCTTGGAGATTAATTGAAACAACGATGGCAAGCCAAGTCAAAATTACCAACATTAAAGGACCACTATAGTGCCCTGAGGGTGCCCCCACCCTCAGGGTCCCCCTCCCACCCGGCTCTGGGGAGAGGAAAGGGGTAAAAACTCACCTTTTCTCCAGCGCCGGGCGGGGAGCTCTCCGCCTCCGATCCTCCTCCGTTCCTCCCATTCGGCTGAATGCGCACGCGCGGGAAGAGCTGCGTGCGCATTCAGCCAGTCTCATAGGAAAGCATTTACAATGCTTTCCTATGGACGCTTGCGTGCTCTCACTGTGATTTTCACAGTGAGAAGCACGCAAGCGCCTCTAGCAGCTGTCAATGAGACAGCCGCTAGAGGAATTGGAGGAAGGATTAACCCATTTATAAACCTAGCTGTACCTGGCACCCAGACCACTTTATTAAGCTGAAGTGGTTTGGGTGCCTAGAGTGGTCCTTTAACGTTTGTCTAACATTGATCATATACTGAATAAAACCCAATCCTCGTAACAATGTTTTCAAATCAACAGAGACAAATCATTGTTGACCTTCATAGACTTCATGTGAAGCCTTCCCACAAGAGCCGAGACGGCTATTGCAGGAATGGGTGGACAGGATCCTAATCTTCTGGCTTGGATATATCAAGGAAGTCCAAACCAAAAGAATCTGCAAACTTTATGTATCGAGGAATTCTGATTCTCCTTCCAATTAAATCACCAATACCATCTTAGCAAGAAAAGATGACTATTTTGAATTTCCAGAAAAAAAAGGAAAAGCTATTAAGTAAGTGCTGGCTTAAAAAAGGGAGAATTTTAAACTGAGTCAGTTCCTAGGACTGTGTGTGTAAGCCACATGCATCATGAGCATGTCTCATGTCCATAGCAGCATGCAGTGTGTGCTGACAAATGATTATTGAATTATTATTTTTACAGAACTTACATTATTCTGATTGAAACTGGGCTTACTAAGCCACCTATGCTGGAGGTATGACTACACTCCAGCATAAACTTACTGATTCCTCTGTATAGGCAGCGTTTTTCAAGCTAAAAACTCTGTACATACCAATTGCCAACACCATGACCACTTCTAAAAACAGAAGTGGCCATGGTGGTTGGTGTAATCTTTTAAAAACTGACACAGGAGACAGTATAGTTAAAGGGGCACTCCAGGCACCATTAAACCTTCTAAATGAAGCTGTTATTGTGCCAGGAGGACCCCAGCCTCAGCGGTTTAACAGTTCTTGAACAGTTTAACCCAAAAGTGAGCCTCCAGCGCCAATCTCAGCTCCCCCACTGGCAGCATCAGGCTTCTGAAATTTCAGTTTCAGAAAGCATAGAGTGCTGCCGGCAGGGGGGCTGCTGATTGGCTGACAGCATCATCTGACCACTCTCAGCCAATCAGTGACTCCCCATTCACAAAACTGGCTTGAAAAAGAAATGTAAAGAAAACTCTTAGAACCATTACTACTACAGATCTCTGTAGTGGTTCTGGTACCAGGAGCGCCCTAACACAACTCTTCTCCTGATTGTAAGTCAATATTGTAAGGAGTCAAACTGTTTTATCTAGGATTCACCGGGAACTGCTCCCCGCTTTTACTACCATCTCCTGAGAGCTGGAAATAACTCAGCAGGGTCGTCTGTAAGCTCTTCTGACATAAACCTTGCAAAGAACAGTTTAGCTAATTGACTGACCGTAATGGTGCTTGGAGTGATCCTTTAATCATGTTCTAAACAACCAACTTGATTTTAATAAATGAGCTGGGTGCCAAGACCAAATAACCAAATAAACCACAACTTGCATTATCCACAATGACATAAATTAGACATTTCCTTACAATGCAGATAGAATGGGGGAAAAAAGTTGCACCATAATTAATGACCCATTTCCTTGTGTCAAAGTTCATCCCAACGTTCCAGTTTCACTTAGCACTTTAGCAAGTTCCTGAAGATCACACTCTAAAACAGGTTAAAGAGAACATTATTAGAGACCATGTAAAATTAAGAGAGAGAGCAGATGAAACACTTTCAAAAACATGTAGAAAGAAGAAACTAAAAAAAGGAAAGAGTTTAAGTAATTGCAATTAAAAGATACTTACTCTGAAATTCTGTGTAGTAAGGTGAGAGAGCCTTCAGGATGCTGACTACCACATCAACATCTTTTCCTTTAAAATGCTGGAGAAGCTCTGGGGTAATTTTTTTGCCATGTTTAAGATGCAGGATATTTGACAGCTCCATGTCATGTGAAGGAGAGTCCACATTATGTGGAGGCTGAGCATGGTCATTGCCATCACATTTCTCACCTGGGGTGTCTTTCAAATCAGACTCCTCGGGTAAACTGCTGTTAAGATCTAAATCCAACATGGATTTTTCTTGTACATTTCCAACATCAACCTCAGCACTTTCATCTGTATATTCATCAAGTATAATGTGATCATCAGGATTACTTTCAAGATCCAAATTAAATGGATTGTATTTTAAATCTGAATCCAAGTCAAGTTCTTCAGGATAAGTTTCCAAGCAATCATCTTGGTGGCCAGGACTAGATTTTTGTATTATTTGTGGAATGTCGTCTATAACAGGAGTCTTGCTACTGTTCATATTAAGATCAGATGAACTTGAGGAAGGAAGCTCTTGCAAGTCATGATCCATAGTCTTGACTTGATCACTGCTCTGTTCTTTAAGGAGTAAGGGATTTGACAAACAAGAACTTTGTTCATTTCCACTTTGAGAAAATAAAGTGAAAGTGGAAAGAATATCAGCAGAGGCTCTCCGTTTTTTTGCTATCTCAATGTCTTTTTCGTGCTTTTCAGGACTGGCATTCAAACTGTCAAATATTGAAGGGGAGCTTGGTGTTGGGATTTTTGAACCCCATGATGCTTTTTGATCTGAGTTATTTGTAATTGAAGTCCATAATCCACTTCCATAACCTGAAATGCAATTTGAAAGGAAACAAATTACACCCAAAAGGGGATAAAATCATAAAACACACTAAAGCACAATATATATGTATTTACCTGATGCACATGTTGAGTCATCCATGTGACTACATATAACACGTTACAAATCAATCAAGAGAAAACCTTTAACAAAAACTTTATTTTACTCATATATTATGGTCATAAAATTTACCCTGCCATGTACGTTAAACTCCAGTTATAACATACTTTAAATTACCAATAACATAATATTATATATGGTTTTTCACCCCTCCCTGTCATATGTGCCTCATTCCAGGGCCCTATTTAACTTTGAACTGAAGAGAATCCCAGAAGGATGGATTTCTGCATCCAAAATATCATAGTTTAAGGGTCCTAATTGTATGGGACGCAGTTGCATGTCTTGTTAGCATCTTGGAATAGAAGGGTAGGGTGGAATAGTGGGACATATTAGAGGCAACCTCAGCCACTACTGTCAAGTCGCATCAAATTCCTATTTTCGGTCTGTTTTCAACAAAACCCAATTAATTAGTAGACACAATATGTGGCAAAAGAGACTATAGTCTAAGGGCCAGGATATTTTTATTTTTAAGAAATTTGATGTTGAGATTAAACAAAGATTGGGGATAGGAAGAAAAGAGGGTTGCAACTCTACGAAGCTTGGGAATGAAAATTGTACAAGCATGAATAAAGGAAGATAGATATTACCATGGCAACGCTTCACACAGCATCGCACGGGAGGACGGAAGAGCTGCAGGACCTGTCCCTCTTACCACCACCGGACCACTAGGGATTTATGTGTGTCGTACCCCCTTCACATAAGGTAAGCAGAAGGGAGGGGGGATTCAGATTGTAATACTATATTTGCAGCCCTCCCCCACACAGCACCCCTTTCACACACAGCTCTCATACATAGCACCCAGCAACCCCCCCCCCACACCCAGCACCCTTCTCACACAGAGCACCCAGCACTCCCCCCACACAACAGCAACCTTCTCACATAGAGCACCCAGCAACCCCCACACATACACAACACCCCCCACCCACAACACCCCTCACTCACACCCACAGCACCCCCTCTCGCACACATACAGCACCCCTCATACACAGCCCCCCTCAATGCAGCATGTATGTGTGTTTGTGTGTATGTACTCAGCAGTTTGTGTGTACTCCGCAGTCTGTCTGTCTACTCAGCAGTCTGTGTGTGTGAGTGTGTATTCAGCAGTCTTTATGTATTGAGCAGTCTGTGTGTATGTTTGAGAGTGTGTGTATGCAGCAGACTGTGTGCATGTATTCAGCGGACTGTGTGTGTGTCGGTGTGTATGTATTCAGCAGTCTGGGTGTATGTATTGCATTTGTTGGAGATACTAATAAATATAAGACTTTTTATTTTTATTCCTGTGAGTTGTGTGTAGACAGGGCCCCAGTACACTACTTTGCCCAGGGGCCCATAATAATGTTAAGGTGGCACAGGTGGGTGGGTGGGATGGAGGGCTGCGAGGGAGCACTGACTTACATGCTGTTACAGCACTGCTCCCTCCATTGATGCCGCCGGGAGACATGAAATGGCGTCAATCAGGCGCCACCACCTGATTTACGTAAATTCCTGTTTTGCCGGCAGCATCAGCAGAGGGAGCAGTGCTGGAACAGCACGTAAGTCAGTGCTCCCTCGCGCCCACAGCCCCTTACAGCAGCGGGAAGGAGGTAGGGAGCCTGGGAGGACTTCAAACTCCCACCCGCACCAAAAAAAATCAAACACATTATTTGTGTGCTGGTAGGGAGAGGGGGATATGCTGGGGTAGTGAGGGGAAGATGCCTAAGAGAGAGAAGAGGAGATGCTGCGGGGAGAGAAGAGGAAGAGGAGATGCTGGGGGGAGATAGGGTGAGGAAGAGGAGAATCTGGGGGAAAGGGGAGAGGAGGAGATTCTGGAGGGGAAAGGGGAAAGGGGAGAGGAGAATCTGGGGAGAGGAGAAGGAGGTGCTGGGGGGAGAAGGAGAGAAGAGGAGATGCTGGGGAAGAGGGGGATATGCTGTAGGTAGATAAGGGAAGATGCTGGGGGGAAAGAAGAGGAGAATTAGTTCGGACAACTGAGTTTTTTCTAAACTTAAACCTCAGTATTCGGGTTTAATTGCTGTGTTGGCACTTTGATGAGAAAAAAGTTGGCATGTATTGCGGTTTGGGCACTCGGGCTCAAAAAGGTTCGCCATCACTGCTCTAAACCTACCATTGCCAGATGACTTACAGATACTATTAAGTTTACGTATGAAGTCAGTGGTCTTAAGTTAACTTTTCCTGTTAAGGCACACTCCAGGAGGATGATAGCGACTTCCTGGGCTGAAAGGAATATTTTGCATAGATTTGATATCTGGGTTTTCTTGCTATTACTGAGGTGTTAGGAGGGAGACATGATTTTATATAGGTTGAGTAGGAGGGGTTTAACTTTGATTACGTTTAATTTTCAGAATATTTTGTCCAAAGTGAGAAAGTACATCCCTCTTTTTTCTATACTACCACTATATTAAGGAAAATAATTATTTACGGTAAGTAAAAATTCAGGTAGGGAATTTATAGACACACAGTATATCACCTACGGTCTTGACTTTTATGATCACTATATCCAATTAGCATATAGATACAACTGTCAGTTTGATGTCTATTTTTGGCAATGGTAAATAAAGCCTGTTCTATCATTGAATAGACGGTTAAATGGTTATCTTTTGCTTAATTGTTGCAATCTTCTCAACCATTGTTTACTGTTGAAAACATTTCAATCAGTTACTTACTTTTATCAAATACCAAACCAGGGATTCTTGTGTGAGGTTTCCGTTGATCTATATCTCAATAATAAGGGTTAAGCTCTGGGTGGAATTGGTACCACTCCCACTAACCAACCCGCATCCGGAACATTCTCGGCATAGGGGTGATTTAGTCTATTAAATTTTGTTTTAAAAACTCAGTTTCTCTACTTCCTACACTTTTGGTTGACTGTTCAATTGCTGCCTAATAAATCTCCACCCCTTAACAGGTGACATTGTAACGTTATTCAGTGGTTTTATTGTTGTGGCTGATCAGTGTAAGCATCCTATTTGGCAATCAGTTTGACAGCAGCATTATTAACATTTCAATGTAATAAATCGATTTTCATCTTTAAAAGATAAGATGTACAGGTAAACCACTCAGTTTCTCTGAATCATAAATACTTTCTAGGAAACATTATGCATGCTACTGACTTTCTGGTACAGAACCCTGCCTTGCATTGCGCTCTACAGCCAACCCAACCTGATGGGGACCTAGAGCCTGTTTGACAGGCTTTTTGAAGATAGTACATGACACATTTTGAGAGGTTTATGATGAGGGTCTCTGTTTTAATTTTGTTGAATGTTCTCTGCTCCTGCAGGAAGCTTTAGACACTATAGCCTGCCATTTGATTCTTTCAGCGCAAACGTTTAGTGATTGGAATAGAAAAGTTGAGGAGCTGCGCATGATTGATGCTGGCCATGTCTTCTGGATGTTAAGAAAGATAAACTGTGATTTGGACACAGATTTGTATTCACTAAATCCAAGGACCTTGAGTCTCAGTTAGCTGAGAAGTTGTCTCCTGTACTCAAGACTTTTTCTCTCCTTGGTCCAAACTTCTCCTTTGCCCCCTCTCTCTACTTTTCCCCCCTTCTTACTTATCCCCCACTTTTTTTTGTTAAACCCTTTGCTTACTTCCTTCCTTGTGTAAAGGATTTTACTTTTAGTTTTTTTCCCCCCTTAGATCTGCTTTGCTAGTTTATTTTTTTTTTTTACTTTTGTGTCCTCTCATATGCAGAGGATATTTCCTTGTTTGTTTGAACTGAAAGTATATTTGGGATCTTTTAGGTTTCGCTTGTGTGCAAATCTGTACTCTTACTTATAGTTATTTTAGAATGTAGGACTTTCATGGCTTCTGGGTCGGCTGCCTGCTAAAATGTGTAGATGAATCTTGTATTCTCTGTTCATATTATGTTTATTTTTAATTTTCCTATCTTTGGGAATGCTGGGGGAGGGTTCTCCCTCTCCCTGGGATCTAGTGGGGCTGCTGGTCGGTCGGTTGGTGCTGGCGAGGGAGCACTTTCCACTGAGCTCTCTGCTCAGCTCCCTCGCATGCTGCAGAGTGATGCCTGGAGCCGGAATATGACATCATATTTCGGCTCCCGGCATCACTCTGCGGAGCTCGAGGGAGCTGAGCAGAGCCCTCAGAGGAAAGTGCTCCCTCGCCAGCGCAAGGCTAACAAGACATTTGCCCTGGGCATTTGGGAGCGGCTTTTTTTGCTGCCCCCGGAAAATGCCGCCTAAGGCAAATGCCTAGTTTGCCTCGTAGCTAAAACGTCCCTGCTGGTGAGTAGAATCATTCCCTTCAGGTTTTTTGCAGTAAACCCGGTCTTTTCAGAGAAAATGCAATGCTTACATTACAGCCTAGTGATACCTCCACTGGCCCCTCTCATATGGCTACTAAAGGGGCTTCTAGAGGTGCACAGTATGCCGCATTTCCATTCAGTGTCTCCACCCTCTGCATGGAAACACAGACATTTCCTAATGCATTGATTTAGTGTATTGCTATGAGGCGATGCTGATTGGCCAGGGCTGGCTAGTGCTGGCTCAGCCCCTGATCTGCCTCCTTGACAAGCTCAGCCAATTCTATGGAAAAGCGTTGTGATTGGCTCAGAACACCACTTCTGATGATGCCAGCCAAGCAGGCAGATCAGGGGTTGACAAAAACAACACCAACAACAAAGTGTATAAAGACACAGAGTCGAAGTGCACACTTTCGAAAAGAATGCAGATATATAATAAATAAGTTAATACTTATATTATGTATAAATGGCAAGAAGGTCTTCACAATGCCTACAAAACAGTAGCATAAAACATAGTGTGTACTGTACAAACACAAGTGAGTATAAGATGATAAATGGATAAACTCACGAATTCTAGAGCCATGCCAGGCTCTGTAAAATAAGCCCAAGGGTGCCTATACAGGCTAGTGATGAATATCCATGGACCACTAGTGACAGATGGATCATGGAAATACTGATGGATGGAGTAGCAGCAAAGGATGAAAGTATAAAAAATTTATCGAATAAAACATAATAGTAAATAAAAACCTTCTTGATAAAAATGATACAGAAACAGACGCGTTTCGACGATAAGTCTTTTTCAATGTCTCTGATGGTTTCCCGGTATCCTGCTGCTTAAGTATCTTCTGCATTATAGTGATTTTCTTCACCTGTAGATGTTCTGGTCGGGCGTGTTCTCATTTTTTTTATTCTTTACATATACATTGCAGCTTTTTTGTTTTTCTTTGCGTTCATTCTTCTCCTTGTTGGTAAGAAGTTTTGTTCAGATTTGTCATAACTGTTTTTTGTGTAGATGACATTAAAACATCTATATACAATATTATGTATTTGCTATTTTTTATTAGTTTAATCTTGTCATTATGATGTTAATGTTGACTAAATTGTCATCAGTTGAGTAAGAACTATACACCTTTAAATTACATTTATATTGCATCAATATCATCCTTATGTGCAATTATATACATGTATTATTTCCACTTGTTTTTATCCCTATCTTATTTTTAACAGTTCTGTTTTTTACAGAGTATATATGATCACATTTCTGTTTTTAATTATATGGCATATTTTTGTATATATAAATGTATTTTGTGATATAACACATTCTTTATCTGAATAGTATCTGAATAGTAATAAAAAGACTATCAGGGCATATTGCCCTCAATAAAAATGGCTGCCACATTGCATGAGTGGAAGATGTCCATCACATTAGAGGATATGACGTCTTATCTTGCTGACCGAAAGTGACATGTTTACTTCGCGGACTGGAAGTGATGTCACATACCCGACCGGAAAGTCTACAGGTGAAGAAAATCACTGTAACGCAGAAGATATTTAAGCAGCAGGATACCGGGAAACCATCAGAGACATTGAAAAAGACTTATTGTCGAAACGCGTCATTTTTATCAAGAAGGTTTTATTATGTTTTATTCAATTCAAGTTTTGATACTTTCATCCTTTACTGCTACTCCATCAGTATTTCCGTGATCCATCTGTCACCAGTTGTCCATGGATATTCATAACTAGCCTGTATAGGCACCCTTGGGCTTATTATACAGTGCCTGGCACTGCTCTAGAATTCGTGAGTTTAACCATTTATCATCTTATACTCACTTATGTTTATACAGTACACACTGTTTTATGTTACTGTTTTGTAGGCATTGTGAAAACCTTCTTGCCATTTATACATACATATAAGTATTAACTTATTTATTATATATCTGCATTCTTTTGGAAGTGTGCACTTCTACTCTGTGTCTTTATACACTTTGTTGCTGGTGATGTTGTTATTGTCTTTAATAAGGTGTTGGGGAAACACCTATTTCACCCTTCCATATACTGACATTTTGGAAGCGCCCCACTTGTATTCTCCTTTAGATCAGGGGCTGAGCCAGCAGCAGCAGACAGAAACAAAAGTAACATGTTGCTATATTTAGAGAGGCAAGATGGTGCTCTTAACACTATATGGTCAGAAACATGTCTGTTTTCCTGACGCTATAGTGTTCCTTTAAAGTTCTAAATAAATAAATAAAAAACAAAAAACAAACAAACAAACAACTGAAAGGTAAAGATGAGATGAGAAAGAAAAAAAGAGGAGAAAATCTTACAATGTATGTATCTTTTTTTTTTGGTATTATTTTTAATGTATTACCTATATGGCATGGAAATAAGATGGATGATATTTGGTGGCAGTTTTCTCTTAAAGGAAGAATTATTCTATCCTATTACTTTAAAAAAAAATAAAAAAAATATGGTGTTTAAAGCAAACTTTTTTCATACTCCATGGATCTCTTATCCGTATGGGATTACCAGACTGTGCTGTATAAACAGAGCTACACACTTACAAATATGAGCATCAGAGAAATTTGTTTTTCTACTGTTCAGTTGGGCAGATACTCACAGAGATATTAATGCCTTCTGTATGTCTGATCTCAATGAGTGGGGATACTAGGTGAGTGGGATCTTTTCAGACCCTGTGGACCTCTTATCAATGATATTCCATTTGGTATAGCCAATTGTAAAAGTCTGGCCACTCAGTTTTGATGTGACAGTAATTACTTTGAGCACTTGGCACATGGAGATTCTAAATTTTAAGCTGACAGAGGCAAACCCCTATGGATTGTTACCTGAGTCTTTTCGTGTAAGTGGGGATCTAGCCCATCTAAAATGAAAACTGCTTTACATACTATGCCATAAAGATGAACTTTACAATTTTGTATTGCCATGACGGCGAGTAATGTTATAACAACATCAGTGGTTAATAACAAAGAAGAGGCTTTCCTTACAAATAAGTATTTCTCCTACTGCATGTGTCGATTATTAAATGTAATGACATATTAAATCACCACTATTTTTAATCAACTAATCCTCATGCTGTGTTTGATTGTTTCAGTCCTACCTGTACATTTCCTTCGTGTAACCCAGGACCGTTTCAGAGGATTTGCATTTGATGGCTTCTTTTTTTCAGTAGTCTGAGCCTCCTTTCCAGGCACTTCAGCTAAATCATCGCAGGCAGGCGTTACATCAGTGACAACAGAAGTTGATGTGGATGGCATAGAATGCTCTTTATCACTTAATTTATTCTCTTCACCCCACAAACCTTACATGTCAAAACAAATAAAATAATTATGAAGAATACCTTTCTAAAATGGCAATTTTTTCCCACAATGTATTATTGCATGCCCCAAAAAGTCGTGTTAAGGCAGTTAAATACTTTTCTGGCTATAATCATATGCATTCTTAGCACCATAATCACTACAGTTTATTCTCTGGGTATAGTCTCTGCAGTTCAATGAAAAATTATTTTTTATCCTTTTCTGATGCTTAAACGACCACTATAGGCATCCAGACCACTTCAGCTCAATGAAGTGGCCTGGGTGCCAGGTCCCCCTAGTTTTAACCCTGCAGCTGTACACAGAAACTGCTATGTTTATATTGAGGGTTAATCCAGCCTCTAATGGCTTTCTCCCTGACAGCCACTAGAGGCCGCTTCCGCAATCCTCAATGCAAAAAAATCGCATTGAGGACATGCTGGACGTCCATAGGAAAGCATTGAGTAATGCTTTCCAATGGACGGTTTGAATGTGCAGGGGTTTGAACCCCTTCAGCCCAGCGGGAAGGGGGGTCCCTAATAACCCTATAGTGCCCGGAAAACAAGTTTGTTTTCCTAGCACTATAGTGCTCCTTTAACGCTTGGTCTATCTGCTGCTATTGCGTTAATAAGGGAGTTTATCTATGCACAAAAAACACATTCACATTTCTATAGCAGTGATTACATGATAAATAAAGATAATAAAAGCAGATACCCCAAACCACAAAAAGAGGCACAGATAAATGTCCTATATCAAAGCATACAAAGTTCATAAAATAAATACAAACAAGCAACTTGTAAAGTGCAAAAAAACATGCCATACTTCACAAACCACTATATCGTACAAAAACATTGTCTTCCATAATTCTTTCATTTTATTTGCACTATATTGTATTACAGGTCATGGAGAAGAAAAGTTAAACCATGTGTGCAAGCTCAAGACTCCAGCATATTAGTATTAATTTAAAAAGCTTCTGATTAGAGAATTACCCAACACAGACTGAAAATGTGCGCGTAGGATAAATGGAAGGGCTTAAATAGGCTGCAGACAGCCCCAAAGAAAACATACAGGAAAAATATACTTCCTGTTTCTCTAGGAGTATAGCTGCTAAATTGTTAAAACAAGGTCAACAATAAGAGGACAGTCTTAAATTAGAGGGGCAATGGTTTAAAAATAATATCAGGAAGTATTACTTTACTGAGAGGGTAGTGGATGCATGGAATAGCCTTCCAGTTGAAGTTGTAGAGGTTAACACAGTGAGGGAGTTTCAGCATTCTTGGAATAGGCATAAAGCTATCCCAGCTATAAGATAAGGCCAGGGACTAATGCAAGTGTTTAGAAAATTGGGCACAGTAGATGGGCCAAATGGTCCTTATCTGTCGTCACATTCTATCTTCCTAGGTCAATGGAGTGTTCCTTTTAGTCAGCGTAGTTATATTGCAGAGAGTTTAGTACAGAGTCTAAAGCAGTTTGTGCCACTCTAGTTCTTAAGTCCTATTGGAACTGATAGTAGTTACTCATCCATTTGATCAGTGGAACTGTGGCTGCAAATAAACTACATATGTATATCACATATACATTCGCTGGACACAAACCAGAATTAAAGGCTTGATTGTAAACTGCAGCAGTTTAAGAATCTTTAAAATGTGAAAATCTTTACACCTTTTCTTTCTTTTTGTAACAAACCTTTTATTGATTTTTATACAGCAGTAAAACATAAAACCTGTAAAATGGGAGAGGATACATAAATCAAAAATGGGAGGGAAATGGTAAGTTACAGCATTTTATAATAATATAATTCCTTCCAATATAATACCACTTTGCCATTTACAAAAACAAAAGTGTAAGGTACCTTTAGGAAAACTAAATGTTCCTGTTTTTTTGTCTTTGCTTTCAGTAAACTTATCACATGGAGTTTTACTAGGCTCTTCATCCCATATGGATTTCCTTTTACCTAAAATAAAAATACATATAATACACAAGCACATTAATTGTGGATAGCACTGATACCCTCTTGAAAATTTGTGTTAGTTCTTCGGATAAAATGGAATTAAAGTGCATACTTCCAAAAACTAAACTAAAAACAGTTTTTGAGGTCCCACATTTTAGTGACACTATTTTCAACATATAAACTTTGCATTTGTAATTTGGACCCGGGTTAGTTTACATTAAAAGCACACTCCAAACACCAGTGCCAAAACTCAAACACATTTTGATGAGGAAAAAAATAAAATCAATGAGGACTTTCTGCCAAATGGCGAAGGAGAGGGATATTTAAACTCTGCAGTAAACACACAGATGAGAAGAAGATAAACATCTATCACTCTAAGATAAGGAAAGGAAAGGAGAATACAGAATGGAGAGGCAGGACTGAAACACAAATAAAAACTAGGCTTTATTTCACTAAACATTTCATCTGTATTCCAGTTTCAGGAGATATAGATAGAGATATATATATATATATATATGAGATTAGATTAATATGATGAGAATCAAATATTACTAGCTGTTTTCAATCAATTATAAATGGTAGGAGGGGCTATCTAATGAAACGGTTAGTTATAAAAAAAAAAAAAATTTACCTGGCAATTTTTCTTCCTTAGATCCTGTATACTTGCTGTTTCTTTTAACTATGAGTATATGTTCCTTTAACAAAAAAGAAAATGTTAAATTAAAAAAAATGAATTTAAAAAAATAAATTAAAAAATTGCACCGACATGCTTGTATTAAAGAGCCCTTTCCCATCCCTTTATTCCCACAATTAGTTGAAGCATATTTTTCTCTTACTTCATTGTACTTGCGATATACACGGTTTGCTTCCTGCAGATCCTCTTTAAGTTTCTGCACTAGTGCTTCATCTTCTTCTGATTCGATCACAAATGTTTTCTGTAAGTGTGCAAACAAGATGATTTAAAAGCCCCAGAGCCCAAAAGCTTATCAAAGTTGGCATTTAGGAACTCTACTACTAATACTAATAATACTTTTAGTTATTGATTATTCATTAGTAAATTGTGTCTGACATTTACAGGGTTATTAACTAAAGTGAGAAATCAAAGAGAATTTTAAGTGAATTTCAAATTTGAGACCAAGTAGCCAAACTGGAAGGATAGCGGACTTCAAGAAAGTGTCCAATTTGTCTATTTTTACCTTTAATTTAAAATTCACTTTGAATTCTTACTTTAGTGAATAACCCTGATAGAATTAATAGCAAGTAGAAAATTAAATTTGTAGGAAGAGTCTTGATGATAGTCAAATATATTTGAACTGCAATATCAATACAAAGAGTCAAACTGTTTACTAAAAATGTAGGTTGAGATTTACACTGCATAATCTGAGCAGACAATATTTACTGTGAGATGTTACAAGGTTATGCACACTTTATTAGAAATGTCCCTACTCATTCAGTTAGGTATTTTGTTTTCTTATTTCACTTTCTGCTAAAAATGTATAAGCAGAATGTCCAGGCGTCCAAACTTCAGATATTTTATGCTTTGCACTGAGGTATCTTACTAGCCAATTCCAGATCTGCTCAGTACCAAGTTTCCCCAATCTCCCATGCAACTGTTGATTTCTTTGTTTTCACTCTTTCATGCTCTTTGCATTCCCCTATAGGCATCCCTAAATATATCCCATGCTTTCCAATGCTCTCTCCATATTTATGAAATTATTTATGTAATTATTTATATGGACATATGTATATTTCGTATTATTTTTATTTATTTATACATATATATCATTACATTCTAAGTGTATTTTGAAATAAATATATATTCATATCAAAATACTGTTAGAATAAAATCACAGTTGCTGCTGGGTTGGCAACTTTTGAACTATTAATATACAGGTGGCTCAGTCAGTCATTGGCACAACTCAAATTGTGACATCTTGAAAGTTTAATCTGGCCTCAAGACAGGTTTGAATAAGAATACTGGTTTAACGTTTTAAGGAATCCATTTTTGACTTTGCTACAATGACAATGTTGTTCTTAAAGACATTTTGCCAGCATGAAAGGTCCTGAGTATTTTGCACGGTTAGCCCCATACACCCTGCAATTAATAGAGTGGGCACAGAAATGCCATTGCATTATTATTTATTTTATTATTTATATAGTGCCATCACATTCTGTAGCGCTGTACAATGGATGGACTAACACACATGTAATTGTAACCAGACAACTGGATCTACAGGAGGTGGAGGGCTCTGCTCAATGAGCTTACATTCTAGAGGCATTGGGATATAGTGACACAAAGGGTTAAAGTAGGGGTACGAAGTAGGTTGTTGGAAAAGTATTCATTGAGGACTCAGTAGGTAATTTTTGACAGTTGCAGGAGAGGAGTCATGGAGGATGGGGGATAAAAACCTGCAAACAGTTTAACTGATATGCTTTCTTGAAGTGAGATTTCAATGATTTTTTTGAATGAGTGGAGACTGGGTGAAAGTCTTACGGAGAAGGGAAGGGAGTTCCACAGGAGAGGTGCAACCCTGGAGAAATCGTGGAGGCGAGCATTAGAGGTGGGTGTGCGGACAGAGGATATACGTAGGTCTTTGGCAAAGTGTAGGAGGCTCAGCGGGACATACTTGTGTATTAGGGAGGCTAGGTAGGTTGGAGCAGCATTATTTAGGGAATCGTAAGCAAGCACCAGAATTTTAAATTGAGCCCTATATCTAACTGGAAGCCAATGCAGGGACTGACAGAGCAGGGAGGCGTGGGATGTACGAGCGGCCAGGAAAATGAGCATTCATTATAGATTGCAGTGGTGCAATCTGGGAACACTTAAGATCACTGAGAAGGGTATTAGCCACATCTGGGGTTAAATAGGGGCGAATGCACGCTATGTTTGAGATGGAAGCGACAGGATTTGGCGATTGATTGGACATGATGGGCGAAGGAGAGGTTGGAGTCAAAAAGAACACCCAGGCAGCGAGCCTTTGAGGTAGAGGTGATGGTAGTGCCGTTGACTTGGAGGGAGACCGACACGGGAGTAGTAACACTTGAGGGAGGAAAGACCAGAAGTTCTGTTTTGGACAGGTTGAGTTTAAGGAAGTGAGCAGCCATCCAGTTGGAAATCGAAGAGAGGCAGTCAGAGACACTAGTCAACATGGGCGGAGAGAGATCAGGAGAGTGTCATCCACATAGAAATAATGTGCGTTTATGAGTTTACCAAGGGAGGCTGTATAGATAGAGAACAGTAGGGGACCAAGGACAGAACCTTGGGGTACGCCGACAGAGAGTGGTTGGGAGGGAAGAGGCAGAGTCAGAGAAAGAAACACTGAAAGAGCGCTGGGAGAGGTCGGAGGAGCACGAGGAGAGAGCAATATCCCGTAGACCAAAATTACGGAGAATGCGAAGAAGATGTTGATGATCAACAGTGTCAAAGGCAGCAGAAAGATCAAGGTGAATTAGGATAGAGTAATGGCTGCGAGATTTAGCAGCAATTAAATCATTGGATACTTTGGTCACAGCCGTTTCGACAGAATGACCAGCACGGAATCCAGACTGAAGGGGGTCAAGCAGAGACTTGGATTCGAGAAAGTCAGTTAGTCTGGTGTGATTACAAAGGCAAGAATTTGGAACATGATTAGGGTCACAAGTATACCTTTGCTAGGACCCGTTTTGAACATGCCTGCTATGCAAGAAACAATGTTAACAGAATAACGAAATAAATAAAACCAAAGATTAAAAACTTACCAAAAACTCCAAAACTTGTGTTTTCTGCTCGAACCATAGATTCAGCTGTTTAAGGAGAAAAAAACAAACAAAAGTGACAATTAACCAAGATGTACACTACATTTACCTACCATATGTTCACCATTACACTATGTTATCAGATATATAAAGTACAGTGAAAAAGCCCACTAAAGACTCTGAGGAGGCTTGGGCAGACATTTTGGGGGCGTGTGTTGAGCCAAGTGAAGCTCAAGCACTCCCAGTAAGGTGCGTCATTACTGATTCCCAATGTCAGAGAATCACTGGAGCATGGCCATTGGTGGACAGTCTGGCAGAAATACAGAAAGCAGGGAGATATGACATGAAATCAGAAGAGGTGCAGAGAATAAGAACAAAGTAAAGATAAAAACAGTTACTTCTAATGCTCATTTTACACTATTTAGGGGAAAAAAAAATACATTTAGTGACACTAGTTTTACTGTTGAAAAATTTTTTTTTTTTAAATTCATTTTTTTTTTTTTTTTTTACCTATACTACTATTGTAAGACTACTATTGTATTTTACTTATTATAGTTAAAATAAGGGGTAAAAAAAAAAAAACAATAACAAAAAACTCTAGTTGGCCCTAGTTTCAATTGATACGTCATATTCAATTTTTATTGTTTTTTACATCTATACAAAAGTAAAGGTTCAGGCATTTGCGGTGAATTATATATATAGTAAATGTAAACTCTATTATATCAGACAAAGTTGTAAGTAAAAGTTTTTAACTGAAAAGGAGGGGTTTACCAGTTGTTTGTATAATATTACAGTATAGAAGGAAAACAGTATTTTTAAATTTAAACATAAATACTAACAAATAGTACATATCCCAAACGTTTTCAGGGCAATTTATAATTGGTTATAATACTACTGTTCTATATTTATTAAATCCATTTTGGATGTATATTTGATGCATGGTGTCTAACTTTGGAAGTAACCATTTTATTTCTCTTTTTTTTTTTTTTTAAACACTATTTACGTACACGGTTGGTATAGTTGAGAGAAATAGGGATAGAAAGAGCAGACAGAGAGAGTCATTGAAAGAGAAGCCCCAAACTAGAAACTTTTCTTGAGTGTTTAGTTGGAATCTTTAATATGGCTCCTAAAAAAGTGCCCCTAACTGAAAAGCCTGAAAAGAATAAATCCATAATTGTCTATTAATCACCTAAATCTGATATAAAAAACCACTAACACAAAGAAGATCCCTTTCCTCCGTTCTATTTAAAGGAGGACTAACAACTGAAATTACTAGTACCGAATCTACAACTCTCCCTCTAGACGTACTTACTAACCAGAGCATAAGCAAACGAATGGTTGATCTATGGGAGAATTAAAAATGATCTCAAGCAAACATATCTGAATTGATCAAAGAAATCTACATTAAACTCAAAGATGGCAGAGCACGTTAACGAACTAGAGAAAATTCAAACAGAAGTTTCTCTGCTACAAACACAAAATCTCATATTGAAAAACCGGTTAAAAGAAATTGACCAAGAGGTGGGGCCTGTCTAACATGGAGGAGAGACATTTTCTCAATTAACTATCTCTTCAACCCCATACATCTCAAACTAGGCGACAGTAAATGACCTACCTGACCCACGATCTAGCTGGGAACTAATACAGCGGTCTGTGACCCAACTGGAACCTACAAGTGGTACCCTCAGCAACACAAGGCCTAGTGTGTGCTGGGCGGGAGAGGTGGCCGATCCTCTGACCCAGTGCAGTGGGGCAACAACTTACAACATGCGAGAGCCCCGTTACACACCCCTCTCCCCCGAAAACCTGAACTAGAAGGGGCACAGGACGAAGCCATGTCAACAAGCCTACAACTCAGCGACATACCAAACATGGCGGACGCCACGTGTTCCCACCTTCCTACTGAACCCGGTGTGCTGACCAAGCTGGATTCCCCTCTTCTGGTGCAAATTGGAGAGCAGAATGTTTAAACCTCCCTCACAGCCACCATGCAGCCAGTCACCCAGGAGGCAGCCTCCAAAACCAGGCATGGTAACACTAACCTTGCCTATGAAGTAGGCCTCATCCTGACGGGGTACCGAGAAGAGTGCTCCATCTCAGCACAAATCGCTGCAGATACAGAAAGAGCCTGGGCTTCCTACAAGACGCAACCGGAGATAGCAAGCTCCGCACAGCTACCAGCGGTCTGCTACAGCTCATCCTGATCCGGATCCTGGCCCTGCAGGCAGACTTATCACATCTGAAGGCATCTGAGCCTCGAGGCTTGCAATGCCTCAACATGCTGCAAGACTATCTTGTACCCTTGGCAGGCATCAGCTGACTGAGCTCCCGGACTGTGCAAGAGTGGACAGACACCGCAAGTTGCTAGTCCCAGTCTGGCAAACCAAATGCCTTTTAATATTGCTTACCCTTGATCACTCTTACATTTAGCACACAAGCTAGTGAAAGCCTCCTAGGGGACTTTGTTTAATCGTAGTTTACTCCTTTCACATAACATAGCCTATCTCATGGCCCTAGTGTACAAATGCATGTGCCGTCAGGTACTAAGCTAAGTCTAATTAGTTCAGTTTCTCCTCTGACTCTCGTATTTTATCAAAATGTGATATTCTAGCCTGACCCTTATTCTCACTTTCACTAAAATTGTGCTGTAAATCTGTATGCCATGCTGATGTTTACCATTGTTTTTCTGAGGCTTGTGTCATGGCTTTACAAGCGTGATGTTATTACTAGCACAACAAAAATAAAGAATTCATTTTAATTTAATTTTTTTTTTTTTTTTTTTAAACCTTGACCAAAAAGTAACAAAGATTGGGGATAGATTCCACCGCAATAATTTGAGGTTTGAAGGCATCCCAGAAGAGATAAAACAAGATAAACTAGAAGAATAAATAAAATAATTAATTTCTCAATATGTAAATCCACAACATTTGGGGTCCTCTTTTTATAGACCGATCCCATAGAATTTACAGAGCCGGTAAACAACTGACAATAGCACGAGAGATGTTATGGTCAGATTCTTAAACGGATCAATAAAAAACATGTTTTTGAGAAATAGAAAATTTGAGGGAGTACTGATATTTCCAGATCTCTCCTTGGCCACGAGGATAAGTAGGACTTGTTTCAAAGAAATGACCAAACAACTTTGTGATACAAATATAGTTTCTAGATGAGGCTTTCCTGCTAAACTGTTAATATTTCACAATTGAAAACAGTTACTATGAACGACCCCCAAAAAGATTTTTTTTTAAATGAGAAAGCTTGGTATTCTTGAATAAAAATAAGTAAGCCTTATAGAATGTACTCTTTTTTTTTATTACACTTTAAACACTATTTTCATTGAAGCTAATTTTAATAATCCAAAATTCAAAGGGTGGTTCATCTTAATTATAACTTATTTTAATCTTTAACAGTATTGTCTTTAGGCACAATAATTATGCTGGGACAAATTTAGCGGATTTATTAATTAAGTCACATTAAAATCACATTAGGATTATAATAATATACAAACTTTCCTTTTAATACAATATACCCGTATATACTTGAGTATAAGTCGACCCGAATATAAGTGGAGGCCCCTAATTTTACCCCAAAAAACTGGGAAAACTTATTGACTCTGGTATAAGCCTAGGGTGGGAAATGCAGCAGCTACTGGTAAATTTCTAAATAAAATGAGATCCCCCCAAAATTATATTAATTGAATATTTATTTACAGTGTGTGTATATAATGAATGTAGAGTGTGTGTGTGTGTGTTTATAATGTATGCAGTGTGTGTATATAATGCAGAGTGTGTGTTTGTATGAATGTAGTGTGTGTATGTGATGCAGAGTGTGTAACCTTGGTGGGGGCAGGGCATTTTTATTAAAATAATAATATTTTTATTTTTTTAATATTATTAAATTTTAATTTTATTATAATATTATTAAAAAAAATTTTTTATTTTTTTGTCCCCCCTCCCTGCTTGATACATGACCAGGGAGAGGGGCTATACAATTCCCTGGTGGTCCAGTGGATGGGCTGTGCAGGAGGGGGGCTGGGAGCAAGCGGTTACTTACCTTTACAGCAGCTTCGTTCAGCTCCCTTCTCCTCCGTGACATTCAGCTCCTGTACAAATCTCGCGGTCTGCGTGGAGCGTTGCCACGGTAACCAGTGGCAACGCTCTGGCGCCGCGGCTCTCGCGAGATTAACACTGGAGCTGAACGGCACGGAGGAGAAGGGAACTGAATGGAGCTGCTGTAAAGATAAGTAACAGCTTGCTCCGGCCCCCAACAGGACCGCCAGGCTTGGGATGAGCCCTGCGGTCCTGGTCTGTATTGTGGCAGTGTAAGTTGCCATAATACAGACACTGACTCGAGTATAGGACGAGTGGGGCTTTTTCAGCACAAAAAATGTGCCGAAAAACTCGTCTTATACTTGAGTATATACGGTAAGCCTCATATAGTACACTCACGTTTATTTAAATGCAAGGAATTAAAGATAGAAGGCCTTAATGTATCAATTTGATATTGCTGCAAACTATTACTAAGAGATCTCTTCAAAAGTTTAGTTGTATTATTAAACTTGTCTCTATGAATGTGTATAGAAAATATGTTACTTAAGTTTGAAAATATTCTTTGTTAATATAATTTGTTTGATTACACTTTAAGCACTATTTTCACTAAGGCTAATTCTAATCTCAATTTGTTTCAAACTTAAAGGGTGGTTCACTTTAATTATAACTTACTTCTAATCTTTAAAGGACCACTATAGTGCCAGGAAAACATACTCTTTTTCCTGGCACTATAGTGCCCTCACCCTCAGGGTCCCACTCCCGCGGGGCTGGATGGAGAGGAAGGGGTTAAACACTTTCCTTTCTCCAGCGCCGGGCTCCCTCGGTGCAGGAGACTCTCCTCCGCCTTTCCCGTTATCAGCTGAATGTGCATGCGCGGCAAGAGCCGCGCGTGCAGCCAGCCAGTCTCATAGGAAAGCATTGTTTCCTATGAAAATCACAGTGAGAAGTGCCTCTAGTGGCTGTCAAAGAGACAGCCATTAGAGGCTGGGTTAACCCATTTGTAAACATAGCAGTTTCTCTGAAACTGCTATGTTTAAAGCAGAAAGGGTTAATCCTAGGTTGACCTGGCACCCAGACCACTTCATTAAGCTGAAGTGGTCTGGGTGCCTATAGTGGTCCTTTAAAATCATCGTCTGAAGTCAACTAACTCGCAATAATTATGCTGTTTTTCAAGTTTGAAGATACCGGTTACTTTAGTCAAAATCAAGTTTTTTTGTTATATTACTTACTAACTAGGATAAGGTATCTTTTCTTGTCCTTAATATATTGTCCAGCGATAGCTTCTTCCAGAATTTGGATTTCTTTTTTGTGATTGGGTGATAATTTCAGGACAACCGCCTAATAGGTAATGCACTAAAGGTGGCGTTTTGTACGATTTATATTTATATATGTTTGTTTTTATTTGGGATTCATTTCTGTTTTGTATTTATTTATTTTACGATTCTTGTAATGGAGACACCTTGGAGGGACAGAGCTATTTTATCAGATGTTAAAACTAACAGGATCAACCTAGATAATTCAAACAATAGAACTAAGCATGTGAATTAATGCTAAGGGTTTAAATTCCCTAATAAAAAGGAGCCTATTATATAGAATGCTACTAGAAGAGGTGTCGCTATTATATGTTCCTCTAAGATTAAATTCGAACTAATTCACATAGAAAGGGACCTATAGGGTCGATATCTATTTGCACATTTGCCAACGTACAAGCCCCAAACGTATAAACACAGGGTTTTTACAAAAGACTTTGAGAAAAAAAAATAGATACAATTAAAAATGGAATTTTACTTATTGGGGGTGACTGGAATACTGTACTAGATAATTGGGACAGGGAAGGAGAAAGATCAAATATATTGAAGAAAGTCCATAGGAGAAGATGTGAATGGATACAAGACAACTTATGCACACATAATCTTTTCGATATATGGAGGGTGCAACACACCAGAGTAAAAGACTTTACTTTTTTCTCTAAAATCTATAACAGTTACTCAAGAAAAGATTGCTTATGAACGGATTCAATAAATCTGAGGAATTTTGCCACTTCTCAAATAGGTTCCATTACATGGAGCAATCATGCTCCTATTTAGGTTGTGATTGAAAATAACAGAGTACAAATTTAGACTTCAATGGAGGATGGACGAATCTATTCTGTTAAAAGAAAATAGAGATCAACTTGATCTCATGGCCAAAAAGAGTTTCTTTCTTTAAACGATATAGGGAATGTTTCAACTGAAACTCTTTGGTCAACTTTGAAATCTGTGATGAGAAGAAATTTGATTCATTTGGAGGCTAGAGAACAAAAAAGTGCAGACCTAACAGATTTACCCATACAGCTAGCACAACAGGAGCAGTGCAATAAAAGGAACCCTTTAACTTTGATTGTTAATCAAATTAGAACAATACAAGTACAGATCGATCAATTACTTGAAGATAGAGTTAAAAAGATAAGTATGATATTTAACCAAAAGTGGTATAGTAGCAAAAATAAGGCAGAGAAATTTCTATCAAATAGACTTAAACCAAAAATATTTTTAAAAAATGAAGAAAATCAAATATTTTTGAATCAATTATCACTCTTCTGTTAGGCAAACTGTACTAAACTGTACTAAAATTGTCTAAAAAGACTCAAGATCTCAAGACTTGTTAAGTGCCACTATTTCGCCCATCCTCAAGCCACGAAAAGACCATAAATAAAATAAATACCGCCCAACCTCGTAAAGCTGGATATAAAAATTATTTCTAAAATTCTAGCCGATAGACTAAGTTTGATAATTCCAGACATGATTCATACTGACCAATCTGGTTTTAAGATGGGGAGGTGAGAACATACAGAAAATTTCTAATTTGATTCTGAAAATAAAGGAAGAACAACATCCATCAGTTTTTATCTCCGTCGATGCTGAAAAAGCATTCTACAGAGTCAATTGGATCTAACTGCCAGAAACTTAATCAGCTTTCGGAATTGAGGGAGTTTTAAAGATTTGGCAATGTCACTTTACACCTCTCCAAAGACAAACATTTACGGTTCAAATTCAATGGTTTTATATTAAAAATGGCACATGGCAGGGATGCCGTTTAGCACCCCTGCTGTGCGTTCTCTCAATTGAACCCTTAGCGTCTCACATAAGACAATCAACCAACATCTCAGGTATTCTACTAGGTAATTTGGAACAAAAAATAACACTATACACGGATATCATTTTGACCATCTCTCAACCAGAAATTTACCTCCCTGCAATCATGACCTGCATTGATAATTTTAGCCGATTTCCAAACTATAAAATTAATTTACAAGTGGGGCGGAGCCAAAGTTAAACGAGATGGCCACATAAGACATGAGATCCGTGCGTGGTGGACGACTAAGGTGTGCCCAGCTCCACACCACGAGATAAAAAGCAGACGAGACATACAGGGAAAGATGCCATAAAAGCAAAAGTAAGGGAGACAGAGCCTCATTCTTCACGGCAAAAAAAACCCCCAAAAACCGCTGACCCTCCTGGAAGGCCTCCAAGATGGGGACCACGAGTCTGGAGACAGCCAAGACTCCTGCTCACTTTTGCCTCCCTCACAAGACACAGAAGGCCAAATAACACCATCCATTTTGCAAAAGATACTGGATGCTCAATCCAAACAACTTCTAACCCAATTTCGAGCGTCTATATCCGAGCTAAAAAGAGAAATACAAGACATCGGTGACAAAACCACGCAATTAGAGACCAACGTGGAAGATAAAACAACCACACACAACTCCCTAGTGATTAAAATTCAACAACTAGAGAGTCACGTCTGACCACCCATGACACCAAAGTGGCAGATCTGGAGGACCGTTCCCATCAGAACAATTTGAGGCTCAGGGGGATCTACAGTCATTCACAAGAGGCCTATTTCAAAATCTATGCCCCACATACCCGTCTTGGATCGAATCTATAGAGTGGCAAAAGCGCGTGCAGCACCGGCATCCGCATCCAGAGATGTGCTGCTCCAAGCCCACTACCATCACATTAAATCATGAAAGCCAGCAGAAACACAAAAACATTTTGCAGATATCTCTCCAGCCACCTTAGCCGCAAGAAGACTCCTCAACACGGTAACAACTGCCCTGAAGCATCAAATCCCGTGTAGATGAGGATTCCCTACCTGGCTATTAATAATCCGCAACTGGCCGACAACCCCATACTTAACCTGGACGATCACTTACACTCCAGCAAGGGCCCCTGCAAATCCCTCCCCCCTTTGGACCGGTGGGGGTTATCCCGGTCCCTACCAGCCCCAGACCCACAGCTCAGCACGCTGCCAGGCCACTCTGCAACCAGAGCGACACGGCCAGAAGGCCTCACAAAATGGCACCCGAGCAACAGCACCCAGCGTACACACAGTACAATCAACAGGGCACTAACCATGTGTCCCACTTTATGACACAGCTTGACAAACTCTTCCAGAGGTTCTGGAGATGCCTGGAGGACCGCAGCAGGTACGAGCAGTCCCAACATGAAGCAGCAGCACAAGTTGTCAGAAGAGGGATGGGGGAGGGTCACCACGTGGCGAACCCCACGGAACCAGCCACATAGACCACACTAAAAGCCTTCCCAGGCCAAAGGTTTTGCACGGTACCGACCACATCGCAGGAGGCCTAACCGCCGCTGGCGGCGACGTAACACCCAGGCCTCCCATGACGCCCGACAAAGGGTAGACCCGGCCTCGCAGAGACACCGAGTCTGTGGACTGCAGGTACTGGCCTTCACACCGACCTGGGGCTGGCCGGCAGCCTATACCAACCCGCAACCCTCTGCCCAATGGACTATTCCAGCCCACACAGCTGCCCTCCCCAGTAGAGGCATCGATTGACCACGATCTCGTTGCCCCAAAGTCCCACTCACCACTGCCTGAGAACCGACTGGGACGTGACCAGAAGGGCCCAAGAAGACGCCACACGAAACCCCCCTACCTGTCATGCATGCTCTCCTGGACTTACTGTTTTCCTATCTGTCTGAGGACTATTGGTGGATAATTAAGCGTGAAGCCGCTGGACTATCCGACCCGTAAACTACCTCCTAGGGCAAAACCGCTGGACTCATAACCGTAACTCTCTTAATGGTCATGCTGTGTATAGTAAGCGTTAAAAAAGTTGAAACCTGCATACACTAGAATGTTCAGCATACACTATGCCTGACAGACATACCAAACACTGAGCATCACACTTCTCATGACCACTTAGCGTGTTAAGCAGTGAAATAGGCATAGACTACAAATGTTGTTCCGGTCATATGTTCATAGTCTAGGAATATAGTTCTGTACCTGTTTGACCGATACTTTACTCATCACAGATAGCCATGTCAAACACTTACCTACTCAACCTATACACACGCATGTTTATCTAGGTCTGTAACTTAATCTTAAACGTACTCTTACACATTGGGTGTTCCAGCCTGCTTTTGTAACACTATTATATAGTCATGCTACACACTCACCCACTCAAACCTACACACACGTAATCTCTTTTTTCTGGGACACAATAGATGTCTAAGCCTTCTTTTGAAATAACATTATGCAAAGCTTCCATGTCACTGTCTCATAAGAATGTCGCTGTACATGACTATTGTTAAGCCTGTTCATAATATATAAAAATGTGCATACTGTTCATCTGATCCGCATGTTAAGCGAGAAAAGCTTGGGGATTGCCGTTGGGGCACCCCGGGCCTGCCTGTATAAACTTTGTGCACCGAAAAAAAAAAAAAAAAAAAGAAAAAAAAAACAAAGAAAGCAGAGCACCCAAAGGGATGGTTCTTGATTATAATAGCTCTAATCAATGAGATCACCTATACAATAGCTAACATGTATGCCCCCAACGACAATCAGAAAGACTTTAACCACAGTCCTATCCAAAATTGATCAAATACAACAAGGTTTGCTTATCCTTGGGGGGGACTTCAACTACATTCAAGACCCCTTAGTTGATTCCACTTCAGACAAAACACCCACAAGTAATAAAGCTGACAAAAATGGCCTCATTTTTAAATGTCTACAACCTCTACGACGTCTTGCGTTCAAATAACCAAACAGACAAAGCTTACACTTACTACTCCTCTGTACATATCTGCTATACTAGGATAGAGCGATACTACATTAAAGGCATACAACTTGAACAAGTCATAGACAGTGAGATAGGGAATATTGAATGGTCAGACCATGCCACTGTTATTCTCATGTTGTCAGATAAATTTTCTTTTAAAAACAAGCCCCTTGGCAACGGAGTCAACTTTCCAGAACCCCCAATATTCTCAAAACGTGATGACAGATCAACTAGTATTTCTCCGTAAATGTCACACCTGATGTGACTATAGACAGTTTAGCTAGCTCACAAAGCGGTCACGAGGGGACTGTGTATTAAACAAGCAGCACATATCAAAAGAGCATCCCAAACCAAATTGGTAGAATGGGAAGAGCGGTTACGAAACCTGAACAAAAAGAACCAAATAAAACTCACTAAGCGCCTTAGTAGACCCAAAATAAGATCCAGGAGGCACATTTGCAACGTACCAGTTTCCTAATTAAAAAAAATAAAGCTTTCTCACTACACACAGGGAAAGAGAGCTGGGAAAAGATTAGTTACCGTGCTGAAAGATATCCAAGCTAGATCCAGAATCCCATATATTAAGACAGACACTAACGCTAAGGTCATTTCCCCAGAAGCCATTGGCAAAGAGTTTGCTACCTTCTATGGGACATACAAAGGGAAGAAAAGCAACACCACAATACTGTAAATGAATCCACAACATATCTAGAACATACACATACACCTACACTCACCTCTGCTTCAAGAAAGCTACCTTCAGAATAGAAGAAATCGAGGCAGCAATTCAAAGCCTTCCAGCCAACAAATTACCAGGCCCAGACGGTCTACCAAACATTTATTATAAAAAAATTAGCAAAATCCTAGCCCCTTACCTACTCTGCTTATTTAACAATGCGATCCCTCTAAACTGCCACAAAACATGATTGCGGCAACAGTGGTTACCCTCTCAAAACCAGGCAAACCCCCAACACATTGCAAAAACTTCAGACCCATTTCCGTGCTAAATTTAGATGCTAAACTATTTGCAAAGATCATAGCAAATAGGATGTCCGAGGGTACTGGACATTATACATTCCATGAACAAACAAGGGACAAAGGGGCTCATGCTTTCCCTAGACGCGGAAAAGGCGTCTGACAGCCTGAGCTGGAATTTCCTTGAAGCGATATTAAATAAGTATAAATTTTCTGACCCCTTCCTCTCTGCGGTTCGAGTGCTCTACAACATGTCTACAGCCAAAGTGCTTTATGGAGGCTTTGTCTCAGAGTCCTTTGACATAAACAGGATGCGACAGGTTTGCCTCCTCTCCCCTCTTCTTTATGTTTTGGCACTCTAGCCCTTGGCGACCCAAAAAGAATAGAACACGGCAGTATTATGGGTCCACATAGGGCAGAAAGAACACAAACTCAGTCATTTGCGGACAATGTCCTCCTCACCATCACTTGACCTGAAACACCCCAACCTGCAATCACAGACATTTAGAGGGAATACAGCAAATTCTCATATTACAAGCTAAACACGACCAAAACACAGGCAATGCCAATCAATCAATCTACAACACACAACAATACAATGCCTCAAAATACACCACGACTTCGACTAAAGAGACGATCACATAGTTTACCTGGAATCTTATCTCTCCCAACACTCATTCACTGTCTCCTTTTCTAATGATACCTCCTCCCCTCATCCTGTCTCGGTTGGAGTTCCCCAAGGCTCTGTCCTTGGTCCCCTTCTATTTTTGTTTCATACTGTCTCTCTTAGCAAACTTATTACCTCTTTTGGATTCCACTATCAACTGTACGCTGAAGACACCCCGGATCTCTCTCCTGCCATCTTGCAACGTGTCACTGCCGTCCTGCAACATGTCATCTCTGACTGTATGTCCTTCCACTTTCTAAAACTCAATCTCTCTAAAACTGAGCTCCTCGTCTTTCCTCCTCCTAATACTGATCCTCCTCTTTCGCTCTTCCTTCACGTTAGTGGTATTCACATAAGTCCATCTTTGAAAGCGCGCTGTCATACTGGATTCTGGCCTCACCTTTGAGCCTCACATCCAAATCCTGTAGATTCCATCTTAAAAACATAGCCCGCATCCACCCCTTTCTCACACAAGATGCTACCAAGGAGCTTGTCCATGCTTTAGTAATTTAGCGCATGGAATATTGTAACCCTCTCCTAATTAATCTTCCCAAAAGCCGTACTGCACCGCTACAGTCCATATTGAATGCTGCCACCAGACTGATTTTCCTGATGGTTCTCTCACAACTCACCCCTCTGCTAGTCCTTACATTGGCTTCCTGTATCCTTCAGGAATCAATTCAAGGTACTAATTCACACCTATAAAGCACTGAACAATTCTAGCCCCTTTTATAGGTATGTCCCTTCTCGGTCTCTCCGTTCTGCCCAAGACCTTCTCCTGTCTGTTGTTCGCACCCGTACGGCCAACTCATGCTTGCAGCTCCCTTCCTATGGACTCTCCTCTAGTCTTGCATCTTTTAAGAAATGCCTTAAAACCTATCTCTTTAGGAAAGCTTATGGCCTCCCAGAGTATCCTCTACCTTACATACCGGTCACTTGCTCTCTCCTAAAGGGCAGCACTCACTCTCCCCTTATTTGATTGCAAAATTCTGTCCTACTGTGTTTTACACCCTACCTACTATAGATTGTAAGCTCGTCTGAGCAGGGTCCTCTTCAACCTATCATCCCTGTAGTTGTCTTGTAATTGTCCTAATAATAATAGTATTGTAAATCGCTACGGAATCTGTTGGCGCAATATTAAGGTCAATAATAATAATAATAAATGAATGAATAAAAATCTAGACGACATCATTGGGGCCAACTACTTTAAATTAGGCCGAAATGCAGCCTTAACCACTTAAGGACATGTGTGACAGGTCATGATTCCCTTTTATTCCAGAAGTTTGGTCCTTAAGGGGTTAAGGATGATGCTACTCCCTAAACTCCAATTTCTATTCTGTTCTTTGCCTGTAGCTGTCCCAAGATCCTATTTTACTCAACTACAACGATAAACTTTTTTTTAAAAATGAGGCTTCGTTATTCTGGAAAGGAAACATACTCTTGCTGAATGATGTATCAACCATGTATTGAAAACCACCCGTATATTTCCCCGGCTTTCTCTTATGTACCCCATCTTATATGCCTTCAATAAAAACAGATTGACAAAAAAAAAACCAAAACACTACAACGACACATTGACAGATTCATTACCGGCCGCCGAAACTCTCGTATTCCAAAGTCCACTGCCACTAGAAAACTAGATGACGGGGGAGTGGGTTGACTTCACCTACACGCCTACTACCTTGCTACACTTCTCAATCATGCCATGAGGGCATAGGACATCAAGACTAAACTCCCTGGACATTGAATCACACTGGTCCTTGACAGAGGAGATTCACTATTTATTTTGGGTACCCAAACCATTACGTTGAAAAATGCAAAACATGCTGCACACTACATCTGTGATGCTAAAGGCATGGGATGACCACAAGGACAAATTCCCCTCCCTGTCCATAGTGCCAACTATGTTGATCATAGAGAAAATCAGCACAGAAATAACACCAAAAAAGGAGTTATATTAGCTTGCAATGACACATTACTGTGGGACGCTGAACATCCTACACCCAGGTACACGAAAGAGTAGGAAAGAGATTTGGGTCATGAGATACCCAATGCCACCTGGTCAAAACCATACAATCTGTGTACCTCACATGTAGAACTAATAAGCAAGATGGCACTTGGTGCCGGCACGCTTAGCCCACATGTTCTCAAATGCATCCGACAGATGTTGGAGATGCGCCACAGAGAATGTTCCCTTTTGCGAGATGATAGCAACCCTGATCTCTGAAGTCTTAAACAAACCAATAAAAGATGTCAGGTGGGCCTTTTCTCCTATTCATATGCCCAGACAATCTCACGAAACAACAAGGAATCTTAGCCTTTCACATAGCCTTACAATTAGTAGCTGCGAACTTACAGATAGCTAGAGGTTGGAAATCCTCTAAAGCTCTCGATAAAAAGGAAGTGGTGCAACAAGTATCTCTTAATGCTCGGTACGAAAAGATAGCCCATTTGAATAAAAAGATAGCTTTATGGGAGAGGTGGGAAGAATGGGTGGGATGTCAAGCCGAATCCACATGAATGCAGACCCAGGTTCAGTCGACGCACAGTAAGACGCATATAAAGGCAGGGTCTGAGTGTGCCTGTCGTCTCCCTGTGGCGCTGATCGAGGCATCTCCGTGTGGCTGGTTCTGCAGGAAGTAAAATTATGCCTGTGGGGCTGCCCTGATCTGTGTTGCAGGGTGAATGCAGCATGTCAAGCATCAACCCCAAGGATGAGAATTCCTCCCACCCTGGCCAAAGGAGAGTATATCATTAAAGGAGCAATGTGGGGGGGGGAGGGAAAGCAGGCTCTGGCCATCATGGAGTACAGATATGCATAGTGTGAGCTCCTCAAACAAAGCATGAAAATAATTTCTGGTGAAATTTTACGTTTAGAAGTAGTATGGGGTTGAAGAGATAGTTAATTGAGAAAACATGTCTCTCCTCCATGTTAGTCAGGCCCCACCCCATTGGTCAATTTCTTTTAACTGGTTTTCCAATGTGAGATTGTGTTTGTAGCAGAGAAACTTCTGTTTGTATTTTCTCAAGTTCGTTAACTTGCTCTACCATCTTTGAGTTTAAAGGACCACTCTAGGCACCCAGACCACTTCAGCTTAATGAAGTGGTCTGGGTGCCAGGTTCAGCTAGGGTTAACCCATTTTTTAATAAACATAGCAGTTTCAGAGAAACTGCTATGTTTATAATAGGGTTAATCCTTCCTCCAATTCCTCTAGAGGCTGTCTCATTGACAGCCACTAGAGGCGCTTGAGTGATTCTCACTGTGAAAATCACAGTGAGAGCACGCAAGCGTCCATAGGAAAGCACTCTAAAGGCTTTCCTATGTGACCGGCTGAATGCGCGTGCAGCTCTTGCCGCGTGTGCGCATTCAGCCGAAGGGGCAGAGGAGGAGGATCGGAGGAGGAGAGCTCCCCACCCAGCGCTGGAAAAAGGTAAGTTTTAACCCCTTTCCTCTCCCCAGAGCCGGGCGGGAGGGGGTCCCTGAGGCTGGTGTTTTCCAGGCACTATAGTGGTCCTTTAATATAGATTTCTTTGATCAATTCAGACATGTTTGCTTGAGATAATTTTTAATTTTCCCATAGATCAACCATTAATTTGCTTATGCTCTGGTTAGTAAGTATGTCTAGAGGGAGAGTTGTAGATTCGGTACTAGTAATTTCAGTTGTTAGTCCCCCTTTAGTTAGAGGGGATGAAAGGGATCTTATACCCACGGCTCTGTAGGACTGTCTACAGAATAATGTAGATCCAACTGCAGGAGTTTGCAGTGTTCACGATTCCCAGGCAGAGGCTTGCACGTCATCCTGTGCTCAAGGAGCGTTCAAACGGATGTGACCACGCGCCGATGCTCGTGGCCTGAAGGGTACCCTTGTACTGCATGTTGATCTGTACCTCCTCTCTACGATCTATTAGTCTCTTTAGCCACGACATATATGCATAGATTTCACTTTATAAATTACAAAAATGGTGCAGTGTTTCATGATGTTTTGTGCCTAGCTGCTATACCTTATCATATTGTCCATTCTTTCACAAAAATTTAATTTTAAGCTTGTATGCATTACAAAAATAAAGGGCAGGGTCTGACCCCTTTCCCTTCCCCGCCTGCCTACCAGATGAGCCCATAGGGACTGATCGCAACACCACCGCTCACGATCTCCACATTGGTTAATCATCCTCTTCTATCTCGCCCTTTGTTCCTTTTTCTACTTCTTTCTCACTATATTCTTCTAATCCAGTCTGGCGCTGGGAAATACTTTTAAAACAACAAAAATGGTGTCTTAAATGGTATGGGATCTCATACACCAATAAGATTTTACACTATTATTCTGTGTGTGACCAGACCTAATTAAGGTGGTTTAACGCCCAAACGTCTAGCCAAAAGAAAATCAAACAGACAACCAATTACTGGTCAGGAATATTTACGAAAAATTTATAAAATTGAGTATTAAAATAAGGATGTTTTTATGATATGGTCTTTTCACTGAACAATTGTATACACTATCTCCCTGGATTGGTAATGTTATACCGGTGTTCTTATATCAATCCTGTGTGTTAAATCCTCACCAGAATAAATAAATAAAAAAATATTTACAAAAAACACAGACTTTATTTTGTAATCTCACACCTATTCAAACTGAAACTTTAAAACCAAATTAAAAGATTAATTGGACTAATATTTCAATAAAATATTTGGGATTAGAGATTAACTTTGATTCAAATCTTGGGTGGCCAGAAATTATAATATATTGTTTCAAGAACTAAAAGAGACAAGCAAGAAGTGGTTAGATTCCCTTTAATACGATTCAAATGTAACTATACGCACAAGAAGATTTGGAAAATTTCTCGAAGTCTATTGTAGTCACAGCTTGACTATTCCAGCCTAAATTGAGAATTTTCATTTAACTTTTTTAATAAACAAACTCGTTAGAGTCGGACAGTGTATTTGGCAGTAGTTTACATAAAGAAAGAAAAATTTTTTTTTTTTAAAAGCATACCTTCTTATTCCTTGCAGTTAATCTACAAAATAAAAGAATATAAATTAGAACTTTTTAGGACAAATTCATAAATTTATGGAAACAAACAAAATTACTTATAAAATTAGTCTTATGCCACCATGAAAGGGTTGCTTTTACACTACACTAGACATGTATCTTTTTAAAGTGTTTATAGTGTTTGGGGTCCCCTGGCAATGTTCTTCCATTGGGTGTTTTTTTTTATTTTACATGGACACTCCACTGTCCAAACTAAATAATCACTGTTTAGCAGATATATTTTCAAATTAAAACATGTATTAAGATATTCTAGCAACAGCTTGCAAATGCTGCAGATCTCATCTTCAGCCTTTTGTAAGCTGTTCCCTTAAAACCCAGCCTAGACTTTCTGTAGCTGTCCCAAATACAGACTTCCCAATGCAGGTGCTCTCTAGACAATTGTCTGCCTCTTAACATTTTGCTCCAATAAGCTAAGCAACCAGGAATAACAAGGTCATTTTTATAAAAGTGATGATTTCTGTTAAACTTTGCACTTTCTTTGTAAAATAGAAAAAAAAAAAAAAAAGGCACACACTTCACACATAGAGCACTTCAGCAAACTGTGCATTAGGGTTCTAGAGTGTCCCTTTAATGGTTTAATGCTAAGCAAGCGCCCCAGCAGCCCCTCTGTGCTGCTTGGGCTAATGAGGAAGCATTAGTTACATAGGAGGTTCACAGCCGTCCACTGCTTGATTGACTTGGTATGGATAAGGAAGAGTGTAATCTGTGCCTTAGTCATATCTTCAGTGGGGGCCATGATGTGGACACTTTAAGACTATCATTCAGTGTTTAACCTTTCACAAATGGTTGTGCTGGATAAGTCAAGCACAATATATTGCCATAACAGACACAAGAAGATAGACAGACAGACAGTGTCTCATTTTGCTTTATTACTTCTTGGAGAGAAACCCTGTTTGATTAAAATTTGATTTTTGTTTCCTACAATTACACTCCAAGAATTAATAGAGTAAACTAAGACACTGGACAAATACAAAAAGAAAAATAATGAGAATACATGTTCTTTACCCCTTAAAAAAATAGAGATTATACATAGTGTCACTGAATATGAGATATTAAAATAAATATATACACACACACACATATTTTACAATATATATTTTAGTGTAGTGTGTTTTTTTTTTTTTTTAATTCTTTATTTTTCATGTGCACGAGATAGCTTACATGCTGGAAAATGCCATATTAGCTGTAACAAGTGCAATAGTAACAATCAATATTGGTCAGAGATATGGTGGTTTGTCGGCTGCACATTTTTATTAATTAAACGTTGGTTCTGAAGGTATGCAGGGAAATCGTCTAGTGTGGCGACATAGTACATGTCCGCATATCTGATATGTGAGGTCTACCTGGGTACCGTACGTGGAGATCGTCCATTGGGGGGTGTCTAGAGGCTTGCGGTCTGCCAAGTGGGTTAGTGTCCCCTGTGACCCTGGGGTGTGGGGGGGGGGTGCAGGTGTGGGGACCAAGGGATAAACCTGCTCCTTGTGGCCTGGTCTCTGTCGGTGAGCTACGTGGGTGCGGAGGTTAATGTAGCAGTGAGACTGCTTAGTGAGCTTCTTGCTCGGGTTTGGGAGAGTAATAGTGTCCCGAGGTCTGTCCCCTTAAGGCCTATCATGGGGTGTCTTGGGCAGCAATTAAGGCAAATGTGAGAGCATATCAGAAAAGTCAAAACTGAAAAGAGAAATGCTAATAATAATAAAAACTATGGAAACAAGAAATACAAAAAAAACCAAAAAACGGCAGAGATCTGTCTGGGTGGTTTTGCGGCGCCTCCTCATGAGATCATTGGTGTGCAAGACCGTTCAGCCAGGGTGTCAGTCCCGTAGTTTCAGTCCTGGAATGAGGAAGAACATCCCGGTGCGGGTGCTGGGCCCTCATGTGGTCACTGTTGCATACTCGGGTTTCCCTGTTCCCTGTGGGATGAAAGGGATTGTCTTCGTTGGATCCCATCTCGGAACCGTTGCTGATGCTTCCTGTGCAGTGATGGGCGGTAACCCCTCCAGAGGTAGGCCCAGCAGGCGCAGCAAAGCGGGTGCTTCTTGGATGTCCGAAATGGAGTAGGCCTTGTTATCTTGTATGTGTAGAGTGTGTGGCGTGCGCCAGCGGTAGGTAATCTGCTTCTCTCGGAGCAGTTTGGTGACGGGTAGCATGGACCTGCGCCACTGCAGAGTTTCCCCTGACAGGTCCGTGAAGAAAGACAGGACCATCGATTCAAAGCTGTAGGTGGCTGCTCCCTTCAGGGCCGCGAGTACTGCCATTTTCTCAGCCGCGCTTCTGTACTTCACCACCAGGTCTCGGGGGGCTGCCTCAGGGGCTCTCCGGGGTTTCGGGACCCGGAAGGCCACTTCAAAGCCGGTGTTCCTGGCTTGCTTAGGCGTCAATAGGGCTCCTGTGAGCCTCTGTAGGAGGTGTGGGATTTCCTCCGCAGGTATGTCCTCCAGGATCCCGCGGATCTTTAGATTATTGCGGCGCTTGTCATCTTCTGATGCCGCGAAGCGTTGGTCAGTTTTGGCCTGCTTTTGCTTTCGTGCCTGCAATTCCTGCCCGAGCTCCGTTATTTCTTGTGCTTGCCGCGTGGAGGCTACTTTGACCGCGTCAATACGGCCCACCAGGCCCGTGAGGTCTGTGCGTAGCTGTGCGACATCAGCCTGGAGGGTTTTCTGCAAATCTCCTAGGAGAGTCTTCAGCAGCATCGCCGTCACCGGTTCTGCAGCCGCGATGCTTGGTGCTGGTTGTTGGGGTCTCCCTGGAGGTAATGTAGTGTCTTCCTCTGGGTAGAAATCCCCTGAGGAGTCCGAGAATTCCTCGAGGTCGGTGGCCATCTTGGGGCTGTATGCACCTTGCGCTTGGGTGAAGAGATCCCTTATGCTGGCCCCCTGTTTGGGTCGGTCCGGTTTTTGTTTCTTGGTTTTCCTTCCCATTGTCGTTCTGGGTTGTTTGGGTGTTATTATCAGCAATTAGGTGGCTGAAAATCGTCAGTTTGCTCTGGGTAAACACGGAGCCCATCTACCTTGCGTCCGTTAAGGTCGGCTGCCAAGCTCTGCCCCCCTGTAGTGTGGTTTTTATATAACATTACACATATAAATAAAAACACATTACAGTAAAAGAGATATATATATATATATATATATATATATTGTAAAGATATATATATTTTTTGGTAAATAAGCAAATATATAAAAATAAACTTACCTTTTATGCAATTCCACGGTATATTTCTCAAAATCTATATAACACAGAAAAAGCATTTCATAATCATTAAATTGCAGACGCCTTTTTGAACATACTTTTAGTGGAAAAAAGCACTGCATATTTTTTTTCTAAATTCTTTATTCAAGAGGCGGACGTCAAAATACAGAGTACAAATTATACAGAATAAAAAGTCTTGGATTAGACACATAACATGTTAAATTAACGAATATATCAAAAAGAAGAGAGTAATTAAATGTTATGCTAACAATAAAATATGATATGTTCTGAAGTTGAGTTTAGAATACTTTAAGTATGAAACCTATTACTTTTCCTTACTTTGTCTATTACTGAAACAATATGTACAAGATCCGTGTATTGTTCTCATAATTATTAGAAAAAATGTAGGAGAAAAAAAAAATTACGAGAAGGAAAAGGAGATGAAGAAGAGAATGAAAAATGGTGCCGCTATGCGCAATTTACCCAGAGAGTTTGTTACAGCTATTTTAAAAGTTATTGGAGGTATATTCTTCCCAGGGATCCCATACTAGAAAATGATGCGTGTGAACACCTCACCTTTGAGGTAAATTATTTCATTACCACGTTGTCTTTTTGTAAAATAATCTTGCAATGTCAGGTAGTTTGTTTGAAACCATACGGCTGCAAAGACCCTACAGGTCGCTAGTGTGATTACGTTCAAAAGTTTTCAATCATGTTTGGGAATTTCCTCAATTGGGCAAGACAAGAGGAAGGTCCAAGAAGAAAGATCAAATCGGTCTCCGTAAGACCTTTGTCACTATATCCCTTATGCTTTTCCAGAAGAATGCTGCGGAATATGTTGACACAATAAAAATAATTGTAAAAAGGCCAACACAGTTTAACCCCTTAAGGACACATGACATGTCATGATTCCCTTCTATTCCAGAAGTTTGGTCCTTAAGGGGTTAAGGTTAGTCTAGACACCATAATAACTACCATCATGTTGTAGTGGCTATGGCACCACTATGCTAAGGGCATAAGATGGACTAAAACTGTGAATCCCCCAAGCAACCTTAGCCTGCTCTCTGGCTTGCCATATAGATAATGCAGAAGTAACAATTATACACAACACTTTTACTTCATATTTGGAAGGCAGTGAAACGTTAAGTGTTCGTTGTCAAACAAATAGTACAAGAGCTTTTCTCATTAGGATACTGTGACGAACTGAACCTTGTCACATGCTCTTGGAGGGGCCTGCTGGCCAGCCTCTTACCAAAAGATTATGGGCCCTTTAAAAATCCACATGAACAGACTTGGTTCGTGGGATTTTATATTTGGTTCAGGAACCGAACAGCCACGCGAACCAGAGACCATCCTGGAGCTTGTTAAGCCTAATTGCTACTTTGTAGCAATTTCCACTGCAGTGTTCGTCTGGGTGGCCGCAATTCCTATGGACGACCACAAGGTGGCGACCATCTTGTTCACATGAAACCAGGCAACTGTGTTTTGTCGTCGAGTTCATGGAACTATTTTCAGACACAAACTCCTGAACACCACTGGACTTCCATGAACACCTGCGTTCGGTTCTACAACACTAAGAAAGGCGCTGTTCGGTGAAAACGTTCCCACGAATAAGGGGATCAAGCTCCACAGAGTAAGACCATTGACTCTGTTTGGTAGTTTGCTCATTTTTAAACTAATGAACTAGACCAACCGCAAGCCCCAATTCTCTGGAACTGTTTTGGGCATCGGACCATGCGGGTGGGCGGTCGGTCGGTCAAATTATGACTTCCAGGAAATTCCTGATACCCTGAACTGATCTGGGTGATTTTTGGATATGTTGGTCACCCAGATCTGGGATATCGGGAGATGTAACTTTTGTGGGGATGTTCTGTGTTTTATGGTATTTTTGGGGTGTTGTAAAAATGTGCTTTTTGTGCCTGGAGATAATTGAGTTTAATACAGTGCTTGACTCAATTATCTCCCAGGCATATGGGAGGGATTGACCTATTTTGTATGGGAGTGTCCTGAACCTGAGAGCCAATGTAATTGTGGATATGTTTTTACTGTAGTCTACTCTCTGGTCCAGGGGGGAGTGCCTCTTGCATGGGGACCTGCATATAAGGCCAGTTGTGGCTGCCATTCGTTTTACCCTTCATGAAGTCTAGGCTCATGTTTGGGGGATTGGAGAGCTATATTCACTCTGGGGATTGCGATAATCACTATACTCCATTGGATCACAACTATTGCTCTTGTAAGAGCAGCCTGCTTCGCTCTCTGGACTAGGAGAAGTCTACCCACTTGAAGCTGGATCCTAGTCTAGGGTCCTGGGTGGGTGGAGGACAGAGAGAACCCAACCAAGCTATGGCGGCTTGTGGGGTTTACGGTGGTTATGGTGTTCCAGTGCGGTGCTTATGGTACTCAAGGATTACTAGGGAGCAGTGATTGACGCAGGTACCCGGACAGGGGTGCCAGGCGGTCCGTCACAGATATCAAATAAGCAGCTTCATGAAAAGGTTGGATAAACCAGCTGATCACAAAATAATCCAACTGCACAATTAGTTACATACATACAATATATAGACCACCACATCACAACATACCATTTTTTAAAACTCCTTTCTCTGGATCTTTTTCTGGAACCTAAAGAAAAAAAAAAAAAAAACGATACAGGTGCGCAGTATTATAACAACACTCCAAAAAAAGGTTTGAATGGTAAAGTAGTTCAGGCCAGAAATGCACTATTTATAAACACTATAAAGTATATGAATATTTTAATAAGAATACATCTAATGAGTTCCTTCACAAACACATAGCAGGCCATGCAGCAATAAAAGAGCACTTACTCGCTTCTTAGAGAATGCTTCTTTGCGCTCAATAATCTTGGCATGTTTACAGACACGGAAATTCCGAACACGAAAAGGCTGGTAGCTTTTAAATAAGGGAAACATGTAACTGTAACATTTAGCCTGCAAAATAAAATGAATTTCAATATATTAACGAAGTATTAAACTAGAAAAAAGTGCAAATTGTTTTTTTGATCAAAGAAATACAAAGAGTCTTGCAATACCACAACAGCGATTACACGTGCGCCAGAATACACTGAAAAAACGAATGGCTGGCCATACAGAGATGCTTCATATACTCAACATATCATTGGTTGGCCACACAGAGGTTCAGCACAATTTTATAGAATAAGATGAAAGTTAGGCTAGGCAAGCAGGTCTACATGTAGAACATAGTTAAAACATTCAGTCTGAACAGTAAGGTAAGACATGGTGAGTGCGATATAATAAGAGGTGCCAAGTAACAGGTTAACTCGTGAAGATAACTGGAGCTAGTGTCATCGCTTTGTCACTATACCACGCTAGAAGAATAAAAAATAAAACTCAAGATGATAAAAACAATAGCAATATCATCAAGTTGCATGGCATAAAAAAAGAAATAAAAAAAAAGAAAAGAAAATGGCAACTGCCAAAATCATGTAGAACCTTAAACTTGCATCAAGCACCGAATTAAAGCATTCATTGGCTCAATGGCTGTGAGAATCAGAATGTAGAGAAGTGGAGCAAAAATCTAAATAATCAAACTCCTTCCCCCATCATGTCGAAAGGAGTGGAGAATGTTAATGAAGAGGATCATGTTAATTGGGAAATCCGATGACTACTATGATACAGTGTCAAAGGAATTCTGCAATAGGTATGATGTCTCTCACTGGGATACAGATAAAATTACATATTTGCTAGGGATCGACTGATTATCAGTCTGGCCGATATTTGGTATTTTCAGGAATATCGGTATTGGCCAATAAAGATACCAATATTGCCGATAATACATACCAGGACCGCCGGGGCCCAATACAACCCCGGCGGTCATGGGGGGCCCGCAGCAAGCTCTTACTTACCTTCCCAGCAGCTCCGTTCAGCTTCCTGTGTAAATCTCGCAACTGTCAGAGTGTTGCCATGGATTACCGTGGCACACCGGACGCAAGATTTAGACAGGGGAGCTGAAGGGAGCTGTTGGGAAGGTACCACCAAGGAATATTTTATCCCCTGTCCCTAGCCAAGTAAGAAGCAGGGAGTGGGGGACCAAAAAAAAAAAAACATTTAAAAAAAATAAAATAAAATTTTACACAAATTACATACCTACAGAAACACACACTACATTTACTTTACACACACATTCTGCATTCACTATATATACACACACACACACACACACACACACACTACAAAAACACTCACTGCATTCACTATACACCCTACACCAACACTCACTGCGTTCACTATACACCCTACACAAACACTCACTGCGTTCACTATACACCCTACACAAACACTCACTGCGTTCACTATACACCCTACACAAACACTCACTGTGTTCACTATACACACTACACAAACACACTCTGCATTCATTATATATACACTACACACTGCATCCATTACACAAACACACACATCTCCCCTGTCTAAACACACTGTATCCACTACACGTGGTATGTATATTTTGTGCATTTACCTTTAGAAATAGTTTATTTTTTCAAAATGGTCAATGTACAGAAAAATCTGTATATTATCTGCCTGAAAGTTCACAGATTATCGGTATCCGCTCTAAAAATTCAATATTGGTTGATCCCTAATATTTGCATACCACTACATAGGTTAAATACATTGAACTCCACTATGTACAAATTAGGAAAGTGTCAGTTTTCTTCAAAAGAAAAGGTGCTTATGAAAACAAAGAAAAACTGAACCTACCAAATAAGAAACTCTGTGCTTATATCCAGTTATGTGCTTTATCATAGAAGGTAGGCTTCCATTATGCTCACAAATGCAGCACTTATAAGCTCTTGGATGCGAAATATCCATGTTCCTCTGTGCTATGTATTGTAAACCTAGACAAAGAAGGAAAAAAAATAAACAATTCAAAATAAAACAAACTGCTGAGTTTAAAAGGAAAATGTGATGATTTTTACAACTGCTTTGTCATTCATTGTTTTAAAGGGACACTATAGTCACCAAGCAACTTTAGTTCAATGAAGCAGTTTTGGTGTATACATCATGTCCCTGCAGTCTCACTGCTCAATTCTCTGCCATTTAGGAGTTAAATAATTTTGTTTATGCAGTCCTAATCACACCTCCCTACATGTGACTTAAACAGCCTTCCTAAACACTTCCTGTAAAGAGCCATCTAATGCTTACACTTCCTTTATTGTAAATTCTGTTTAATTTAGAATTTCTTATCTCCTGCTCTGTTAATAGCTTGCTAGAACCTGCAGGTGACTCCTGTGTGTAAGTAAAGTTCAATTTACAGATCAGGCGATACAAAGTTTTGTTAACATCTGATTAAAAATTAAACCATTTTGGTTTCATGCAGACTGTGTCAGTCACGGTCAGTGAATTGAGCACTGAAACTTCAGAGGCATGATCTATACACAAAAATTGCTTCATTAAGCTTAAGTTGTTTTGGTGACTATAGTGTCCCTTTAAATATGCTCACTAGTGGTGGTGTGGTGAGTTTCTTTGTTATATGTATTCTAAAAAAAAGAATACAAATGTTTTTTAAAAATTAAAAACCAAACACCTTTATTCATAGCACTAACAGTAGAAGTATTGTTTCTTACAGTTAATCAGAAAACAAACCTATATATAAAACACTATAGAACTAGGAGGAACATATACAAGTGATCTCCTTTGTAATACATTTAACTTAACATTAAGACATTCTCATCCAACCTCTATTGTCAAAACCATATGCCTTCTGCAATTGATCCCCACTCTGTAACCACTTGTCCATTTTACTTAGCATAACTTTTCACTTATTCTTAGCTTCCAAGATCATCTTCAAAATAAAAAAGTGTCTAAGTCACCTTTCTAGGCGTTTCATATAAAAGTACTACAACATGTTAGATTAAAATATCAAGATGTAGCTTCCAGTACTGTTTGCAACCTAATCCATGTATTATCCTGGATAATTGCACTATATAAGAAAGCAATATAAACTCATAGAAACATTTTCTTTAATATGCAGTTGTGTCAGATTTCTTAAACCTGGTTATAAAAAACAATGGTTGTGAAAAATGCCATGTTTATTTCTCATAAATCTATTCATTTAAAAACTATTTCTGACTTGGCCAAACTGTACTACTCTTAGCCATGAAGTAAAACACGAAGGAGCCTCAATTATTAAAAGCAGTGTTAGGCAACCTTTAGCACTCCAAATGCTGTGGACTACATTACCCATGATGCTTTGCCAGCATTATGACCGTAAAAGCAGTATTGGGGATGTAGTCCACAACATCTGGAGTGCCAAAGGTTACATACCCTTGATCTAAAGTAACACTCCAAGCACCATAACCCCTACAGCCCTCTGTATGTTGGAGTTCAGCCATGTAAGGTGGATGTGTGTATCAGCAAAGATTGAACATGTGTAATATGTGACTTGTGATCAATAACTCCTGGATGCTTAATAGACTGAATGTTATTAATTGTGTTTATTAGACAATCTTTTCCCTAAAGCAGACTGAGAAGCAGCTATCAATCTCTATTTGGAAAATCTATTTATTTACAGACTGTGGTAACCATTCTGTTTGTGTGCTCTCACTACTATTTATTTATTGTTTTTCACATTGTATGTGTGTTGGAGTTGCTCACATAGGTGATTGTAGCACCAATTTATATATTTTACAAATTCTTTTATCTTTCCTTGTTATTGATGTTGCCGGTTATGTTGTCAGGAGAGCCTTTGTGTCCTCTCAGAGTAAATTATCCCACCGATGAGAAGCAGTTTGACAATTTGCCTGGGTCACTCTGCAGGAGAAGTTGGATGTCTCTCCTGAGCTAAGCAGTTCTGATACATTGCCGTGCTTAGTAGATGCTCTCAGCCATTGAGAATGGCCTACAAAGCCCTCCTTAGATTAACCAAGCTAACCAGGTTCTAGTTGCAGGAGAATCCAGAAACACGCAATGCGGCCATTAGCATCCTGGGGAACCAAAGTAAGTCAGAGATTTCTTAAAATGGTCTGACAGATTACTCTAGGACAGCTCTCCTGGCACCACAACCACTACAGGGGACTGTAGTAGCTAAAGTGCTTGAAGTGTTCCTTTGAGGACTCTGAATGTGACAAAAATGTTCTGCTACATGGGTACATGATTCAATGTGAATTACATAAACAAAAAATGAAATGGTGTTCTAGAGCATGAATGTATAACTACACAAATCGATTTTAAGAAAAATAAAAAGTCAGTAGTGAACAAAAGACAAGATATAATTAAGAGCTCCTCTATATAAAGAACAATTGTAGGAGCGCCAACCTGAAAACTGTGCAGTGACAATAGAAATCAACAGAATGTTACAGATGCTATATTTCTAGAATGTTGCCCGAAAACAGCTCTTATATAACTTGTTTTCAACCCATTTAGCATTCTTTTTCCATCTACTTACCAATAACTGGTTCTGATCTATTAGGACTTGCAATAAACGCTTCCAGGCTTTCATACATTTTTTCACCTGAAACATAATTATTGACAAATTTATCAAAATAGCGAAACTAAATCTGGCAACTTAAATCAAGTCATAAAGCACACACCAACACTGGTCAATTTAATATTTTTGGATAACAAAATCTCACTCATTTTAAAGTTTAGCCGAAAATATTTACAGGGTTATTCAGCAAAGTGAGAGTTTAAAGTGCATTTCAAATTTAAGGTCAAAATTGCTATGCTTTCAGTTCAACTATCACTGGACTAAAATGTGAAATTCACTTTTAAATCTCAGTTTGTCAAACTAGCCTGTATATTATTTGACAAGATTATCCAAAAATATTATAGAAATCACGCACAGGCACATTTGCAAGTGAAATGGAAATTACTTGTGCACTTGATCCTTTTTTATTTACCTATGCCATTTAAACATTAAAAAGTTTCTTGTAAGCCATCTCTACATATAGAACAGTAAACAATGCTCAATATTATTCATATCTCAAAATCCTTGTTCTGTTTGCATTTTAGGTGAAACATATATGTAGAATGAAAATCATGTATACATTACTATGAATAACTGAAATAGGAGATCAGGTTTGAATCTTGCTTATAGTGCTATATATGTGACTAAAAAAGGATATCAGGAAAAATATATCAGATTGAACATTGGGAATTATGTATAAAACTGTCAACATGCTTTTAATGCATCTATTGTTGCACATCGGTTGTTTGTGCCTATGTAAGAAGGTCTATGCACCTAATTCCCCTCCGTGCCTGTACGGCCATTTATTTCTCCGTTTCATTGCACTTTTGGCTTTTTGGTTCAGACGTTTGGCACTCGGTATATGAAGAAAAAGAGATGCAAAAAACATCCCTGTTTACTTCTGACCACATTTTCAGTCGCATTCATATCGGTGGGATTATTGTGGCAGGCGCAAATGTATAAAATGTAACGATTTCATTTATACATTACAAATTGGCACACCAATTTCCTAAAAGCGATTCAGACAGTTTTATACATAAACATCAATATGCAGGATCATATGGAGGGTCACCCAACAAGTTTTCTGATCAATGATCCTAATGACAAAATATAATCAATCTGTTACCTTTCAAAGATAAACAGTTATGTGGTAACACAGTTTACGTGTTCAATGTTGCTTTTATGGTATTACCACTGGAAAACTTAGGTTTGCTGTACAATGCCTATATTAAGAAAGTCAACACGGGATCCTTGGGGAGTAGGTATAATATTCTCCTGTTTATTCCCTTCTCTCTCTCACTGGTATACGCAATGACAGTGTTGTGATCAGAAGCAGATATCACAAGTTCCCACATGCCATTTTTATGAGAGGGGAGATCATGAAGGAAGTCTTACGATCCAAGTAGCAGCTTGACAAAATGTACATCAATTCTTCTGACGTCCCCAATGCCTTTCCAATGATGCCTGAAATGGCATCCTACGGTCCACACTGATCCCCTTAAGGATCTCTATTTTATAAATTGTATAATCAAACTTTGTGATCATATCTGATCAAGCCTTCTGCAGCCTGGAAAGTAATAGTGGACTGCTGCCTCTACAGCCTGTGACAACAGACGCAGATGTGATAATTCAGTAACAAGATTCTTTTAGATATACCTATATGAAAATAAGAAGTTCAAGCGAAATTGTAGCAGGAAACGTGAGCATATCACATACAATTTATTTGTTTTCATATAGCAAACTATAAACATATACAAACTAGAACACACTACAACAAAGCTTACCATCAGCATATTCTTCCATCTTAATGATCCAAGTTATACCGAAAATAAAACACACACACAAGTTAAGAAAGCTTGACAAAATAATAAATTACATTAATATTACTATCACCATATAACATTTCCAATAACATGTTTCATAGACAATTTGAATTAACTTCTACAGTTTATGCTTACAACCATTTGCATAGATTTTCCATTAAAAGATCTGATGGTAAAAGGCTAAATGTGTTGCATGATTCCCAGGTAATTTAACTTTTGACTATCTACTGTACATTCAGTGAACCAAATGAAGAAAAAAAAATTAACTAATTTGAGGTAAATTTTTCCTCATCATTGCCAATATACACCAATGCCTGACATGATGTCAGGAGTATTGCAAAATGATTAATGAACCCTCTGGATTTATTACATTGGTTCGTCATACATTTCCTGGCTTTGTTTACCTAGTATGCACTCACTAGAGCGCTGTAAACAAAGGTATGGAATATGCCAGCATTTTCATTCAGAGGCATTTGGCTTTGTGGCACATGCTCCAGCAGTACTTCAAGTTATTGAGCGGCAAAACCACTTTATCGTGGGACATGTGGCTCAATGGCAGTTTTGTACAGAGATACATTTTGGCAGCACAGAATGTGTTTGTCCACTGGTAAAATACAGGGGTATACTGGCTATTGTCATATGCACAGACCACAAATAGTAAAACATGTGTTATGGTTGAAGACAACCCTTTTTTTTCCCTCATACAAAGCCACAAGAGCATGGTAGTTCCTAAGTAAACTGGTACACTTGCATAAACCATAAACCAAAGCGGTTACAGAAATCCAGGCGATAATTCCATGCTTCATCATTATAAATGACCATTTATTTATCCGTGGTTGTGAAATGTGGATGATATAGCAGGAATGGTACAGCTTGTAATCCCAATATTTTCATCGGTGATGCTGTAGATAACCCTTAAATCCCTTCTCGGCAGCCACCAGCGCTTTTATTCATGATGCACAGCTTTTAACTTTATTCGTGTGTTTGCTTTTCAGGAATAAAGATGCTCAGGGCTGTGTATGCATGTAGCTGCTGTAAAAAGGTCTTTCTTGGTGAGTTATAGACACTATACAGCATGCCAACAATTTTGCATGGACAAGACCATGTTCAATCATGGGAGATCCATAGTTATAACTAACAGTATGAATGGGAACTCCTTGAACCACAACAAATGCCAGTATTTAGGAAGCTAGCAGAGTATATTTAAAAGAAAAACACTCCAATATACAAAATAAAATAATTTCTTGGAGGAAAAATAAACATAAGATGTATTTAAAGGATACCTATGTAAACACAGTCTTTATAATCCTGGAAGGGAATGGCCCAATGTTTTCAAAGATGCCATTTATTGACATCTCACTTTTTCTCCTATAGGGCTCATCTAATCAGATTTAAATCTTAGGATACTTTTGTATGGCCTTTTGTCTTCAGAATATCCTTATGCATTTTCCCAAGCATTCTAAATTACTTTCCAGTATTAGCCAGTGCTATTTCTACAGAAAGGCTATACCTGGTAACTACTACCCATTCAATCTCATCAGATCTTTTTCACACAAGAAGAAGAAAGTGTGTTACAGCCAGGTACAATATTTTATTTAGTATTAAAACTCCCTTAAAGTTTGACGGGTACGTAGAGTGTGATATATTGACATACACATTCATTTAAAGTTATATGCAGTGTTTTTCTGAAACTTACTGCACACTTTTAGTAAAGACAGCAAATGGATCAGTCAGTTGAGTGAAGCCAAATCTAGGCACATGTCCACACAACTAATGCTCTTCTGATCACAAATGTTCCTGGCATATAGGTGTATACAATTGACATTTGTAAATACCGGTGCTAAAAAATCTAAATCTGGTCATTTTTAACAATATAAAAATAAATCATATAATTGCAGTTACACAACCACTACAGATCTTGTAGAGAAAATTAAACACTTAAATATGGATCTGGCATAATTGTCACTACAGCTCATAGATATATATTTTTCATTATTTTTGTGTACTGTACAATAATTACATGCTGACAGAGGTTTGAAAGGCAAATTTAGTTTTTTAAATAAAGTTGTCTTTAAACATAATAAATTTACCCATTTATGATGTTCGTCTTCAACATGTAACTTGAGGGTTTCTTCAGTCACACATGCAACTTGACAGATCTGCAGACACAGAAGTAACAACTTAATACAATTCACTCCCTATTCACTTAATTGTTACATACAGGAAAGTATCTGTGTATGTACTAGATTCATGTTCCCAAATTATATTCTAAAACATGACGTTTTATTAACATTTGTACAAGTAAGAAGCCACATATATCTAGCTGTTTAGAAGACAATGTAAAAGATTCAGATAGGTAGGAGTAATTGTTTTTGTTGGTATAATTGTTCTCTTTGCTGATAAAGTATCATGTCGTCAGTTGTTGCAAAATATCAATGGGGGGCAGAGGGGGGTAAGTACCAGAAGCTAAAACAAATAGCTTATTGGCTTCCAAGCCTTGTCAAGACCTAGTCATCTGTATTATATTAAAAGATAACCAGTTTAAACGAAAATGATCACCTCTTTTTTTGACAATCTTTATTAGGTTTTATGTGAGTACATTTGTACATAAACATTTTAAGTAAACAACATCAGGGAAATGATCAACTCTTGTTCCCTCCCTGAGTTATAGCATTTAAATGATAGTTGGTTAGGAGCTGCACTTACTGGATTAAAGACCATTCTGCTTTGCCCAGCAACATGTACACACTGCAGTACATCCTCAGAACATGCTACCAGGCAAAGCAGAATGACTCTGTTACTCACAACTTAGGTTATCTTGCATGCTACACTCAAATTGAAAGTGGATTAGAGTTTTCCATTAATTAGAGGCAGGTAAATATTCCTCTGCCCAGTATTAGGCATACTTACATGGTTTTGGGTAGTAGTACCAATAGAGTGATACAGATTGTATTATACTACACAAAGGCTGACGTGCATCTCTTTACTTCGCATTCGGCTCGACTCTGGAGAACAGACGTTGATGGAAGAGGAGAGGTCACCAGTAGGGATCGACCAATATTTATTTTTTAGAGCCAATTACGATACAAATAATCTGTGAACCTTCAGGCCGATAGCAGATAACTTACAGATACCAATATTCTGTACATTTACCTTTTTTTTTTTTTTTTTAAATAACCTATTTCTACACAAATCTATTGTTAACTGAACATGTTTGCTTATTTTTTTGCAAATCTTTTTTTTTTTTTTTTATTAAGGTAAATGCACAAAATATACATGCCAGTCAGAATTTTTGTTTTCAAGAATATATATGTGTGTGTAGTGGATGCAGTGAGAGTATTTGATTAGTGAATGCAGTGTGTGTTTGTGTAGTGTCTGTATATAATGAATGCAGTGTGTGTTTGTAGACTGTGTGTGTTTGTGCAGTGTGTATATAGTGAAGGCAGTGTTTGTTTGTGTAGTGTGTATATAATGAATGCAGTGTGTAGTGTATGTATATAATGAATGCAGAGTGTGTGTTTGTGTAGGTATGTAATTTGTATAAAATTGGGGAGGAGGGTGGCATGCATTTTTCATAACCTTTTAAAAAAAAAAATTTTTTTTAAAATCAATCTTGTTTTAGACCCCCCCTTACCTAGCCAGGGAGGGGAGATATGGCATTCCCTGTGGGGCCCAGCATACTCTTACTTACCTTCCCAACAGCTCCCGTGTCTAACTCTCGTGGCCTGTGTGCCGTGCGGAGCATTGCTCTGGTAACCAGTGGCAATGCTCTGACGACCACAGGACTCGCAAGAGTTAGACAGGGGAGCTGCTGGGAAGGTAAGTAAGAGTGTGCTGTGCCCCCCAGGACACTGATGACGGCCCTGGTCTGCATTATCTTTATCGGCCGATACCAATATTGCTGAAAATACGGAATATCGGTCGATAATATCGGCCAGACCGACAATCGTTTGATCTCTTGTCACCAGTGCCGAGGGAGCCCAGCGTTGGATTAAGGTAAGCAAATAAATCGTTAATTAACCATTTATTCAAAGCAGAATGGAGCCATAGTCACTGTTTAGGTGACTAGGGCTCTATAGTGTTAGGAATACATATTTGACGGATTAAAATAAATTTTTATGAGCATCTTACAATGGTGTTCAGTCATCCTGCAAACAACATATACATATGTGCACTTGGTATGAATCAAATGAAAGATATGCCAACAAAAACTCCCCCTTACTAAACAGTTACCTCACAATAGAGAGATTTCTTTTTAGGTGTGGAAGAATTTTCTTCATTTTCCACACTCGTGGAAGGTTTTTCTTCATTTTCCACATTCATGGAAAGTTTTTCTTCATTTTCCACACTCATCTTGAATAAATTATTCTGGATGAAAAAAAAAAAAAAAAATCTGATTTGTTGAGGTGCAAAAATATGTTATTAACGGTGTATCATCTTATAGAAATCAGAATACAGACTTACAGACAGTGGAAGCTGTTATGGTGGTTGCAGAGTCCCATTTAAAGGAACACTATAGTGTTAGGAATACAAACATGCATTCTTAACAGTAAAGTTTTAATCTCTCTATTTGGGTGTCCACCGCCCGCCTTTTTGTCAGGGTTTTTACATTCAGTTCGGCCTCCCTTGGTGAGATCATCAAGATTGATAATCTCACTCAATGCAATGTCTACCCATAGGGAAGCATTGGCAGGATAGTGCAAAAGCACGGCAATTCTCCATGCTGCGTCAATCACATGCTCTCTAAGAGCAGCATTTGTCAGAGAACATCTGTCAATCTGACTAGGTTCTAACAGGGGAACCGCTGTCAGGAAGACTGCCACTAGAGGTGTGTTTAACCCTGCAATGGAAACATTGCAGGGTTAAAATTAAAGGGGAACTGCACCCAGATCACTCCATTGCGATGAAATGGGCTGGGTGCCTTTAGTGGGGTGTTTTTGGGGTTTTTTTTTTAGTCGTAAACACTGTAGTATACATTTATAATTACTACTATAGACTTACTCTAATATTGTTTCATGAATGAAACCTGCTGAATACAATCCGAACTATTAAATGAAGATCTTTTTTGAAGAGGGAGTGTAACGGACGGACGAACCGCTCGGAGATTGTGCGCCAAGAGGTAGAGTGGAGGTAAGAGCTAGAGGGAAGGAACAGCGAATGCCACAACCAGATCCAGAAGTTGGCACCAGGAAAACTATAAGAGAGGTACAAAGTGCGAGGGGGATTGAAGCTGCAAACATTATTGAGCTGGCAATACTAGACGCTCCGTTTAAGGAGTAGAATCGACCTCAGAAACGCGGCACTCCACGTGATTTTAATACCAGGACACCCCCCGTAAAAGGAACACCAGCATAAAATACCTGCACAAATCTCGTTCAAAAGACTTCCAGCTTATACCAATGGAGCCTTAGTCCTTCACAGCTTGGAAAAAAAAAATTTACAACATTTTTAACCTGCATGACAAATTAATATAGTGAGATGAATGCTATGTTTTAGCATATAAATTTATATCGATTCATTTTTCAGGAATTAAAGGGACACTATAGTCACCAGAACTACAGCTTATTGAATTTGTTCTGGTGAGTAGAATCCTTACCTTCAGGCTTTCTGCTGTAAACACAGTGTATTCAGAGAAAAAGCAGTGTTTACATTACAGCCTAGTGATAACTTCACTGGCCACTCCTCAGATGGCTGTTTGAGAATTCCTTCCTGGGTCATGGCTGCCTAAAATGCATCCAAACATTCAGTATCTCTTCCCTCTGCGTGCAAACACTGAACTTTCCTCATAGAGATTCATTGATTCAATGAATCTCTATGAGGAGATGCTGATTGGCCAGGGCTATGTTTGAATTGTGCTGGCTCTGCCCTGATCAGCCAATCCTATGGGGAAGCACTGTGATTGGATCAGGCCACCACTGTTGATGATGTCAGAGAATGCAAGCAAGATTTTACTGTCTTTAGGGAGTCAAAGGGGGCCAAATGGGGGGAGGGGTTGGTAGATAGTGGTTTTAACACTATAAGGTCAGGAATATATGTTTGTGTTTCTGATCCTATAGTGCTCCTTTAAGACTAACTGAATTTCTAAGTGACTCTTGTGGTCCTTTATTAAAAGGTGAACAACAAGCTACGTGTATTTCGTAGAATCTATCTGTATATAAGATTAAATATCGACAACCGTAATAAACGGGAACAAATAAGGAAAAAGAGGGTAAGTTCAACTGCAAACCTTACTGTTAAATAATTAAAGCTGTATTCTCAATTTTAAACAGACCCTTTATTAACGTAAAATCACTGGGTTTTTTTCTTAAATTATTAAGGCTCTTACAAACGAGAAGGAAAAAGAAAAAAAAAATCCTCCAATCCTACCAAACAAATCAGCATTTACTATTCACCTAAATCTAATCCAGAAATTAAAAGGTGATCTCTAACTGCTGAACAAAGCGCACTCCCAGTAATAGGTGATCAACATGCTTTTCATTCAGTAGTAGAGGATTCAATATTATGTGACACTGCTATTGCCCATCAAAGTATCTTAGAAATGTTGGATAATTTATAAAAAAAAAATCAAGCAAGATTTTAAACATAATATTCAAGATGTGAAAAAAATAAATTATACATCTCACTACTACACTGTCTTCACCAGCAGATACTCTTGACAAGATCTAATCCGACTACAAAGTACTTCAAACAGAAAACTTACAGATGGACAAAATAATAAAATACCTATAAAATAAAGTTACAGACTTAGAAGACAGAGGGAGAAGAAACAACTTAAGAATTCAAAGAGTTAGTGAATCAGTCGCCCATAATCAACTTGAACAATATTTATGTGAAATAGCTCCAGAAAAATTGGAAACACATCCATTCGAGAGATTACATTGGCTTACACATTATAAAGCTACAGATAAAAAAAAATAAAATAAAAAAAAAAACACAACAGATATTCTATTACATTTCTCACACTATTACACTAAAGAAAAGATTTCTCAAGCAACAAAACAGAAGAAAACATTTGGTTATAATTATAAAGAAATAAAAATCTTTCATAACATCTCCTATGCAACAAGATCTACAAGAATTAAATTCATCTATCAAACTTGAATTTTGAGGTCTTATGGTCTGAGATACAAATAGCTGTTCCCTACAGTGTTGCAACTTTCCCATAATGAAGGGACATATTCCTTCTCTGATCCAAAGGAACTACAATAGAAACTGGCCCTATGGAACATAGTTATGAAAATAGAAGAGAAAAGATAGCAAGAAAGAATACCCAAGAGAAGTATATAACAAAATGAAAATAAAAAGATAGAGAACTTTTTTTTTTCTACATAACTAACTTTTTAAACTTAAGAATATAAGAAGGGGAGGAGCCTGGCATCCAGACTGAGCGGTTGTGCTGAACCTCAGCTCCCGCTCTAATCTACACTTTCTGGGGGTAAACCCCCAACAAAAACGGCACAATCGCCCACTGGAAGGAAGCCATCATGACAGGGACACCCAGGGGACTCACCCAACACCAAAAACAAGCCTGTAACGGAGATTGAGAATCGGGGAGACGGCCGCTCCCTAGCCTGACTGACCTGGATACTGGTCCCTCGAGGCTGACATCTTAACAATTACAGTTACAATTAAGTGTTTTAGTCCACCCATTGTACAGCACTACAGAATTTGCTGGCACTATATAAATAAGGAGGAGTAGCAATACTTATATCAGATGAAATTAAAACAGAAATGATTCATCATATTTCAGATGACAATGGACGATACCAAATTTTAATAATTAAAGCTCAATGATAATGAACAGATCCGTTAACATCTATGCCCCAAATCAAAAATTTTAACCTCAATATACAGTAAAATTGAAACAATATCTAGCGGCAGATTATTTATGGGAGGGGACTTTAATTGTGTAATTAACTCAAAATTAGAGGGAAATTATCAGATAAAGAGATGCAACATTTCTTAATAACCAGCTCTCTTTATGATTGTTGGCGAGTGATGCATTCAAGCGATTCACGAATCATATTCACGTATAGATTTATTTAACTACCTCTAATTGTTTAAAATATGTATTGAGAACTGATATTGGTTCAATAACATGGACTGATCACACTCCAGTTTTTCTTGAAATCAATAATAGAAATTATAAGTATAGAGCTAGGTGGGGACTTAACAAGACTCTACTTAATTCTGAATATGACCTTGCATACTTACATACTAAAATTAAGGAATTCCTTGAAATTAATGATAATGGAGTTACCTGTTCTAAGGTGCACACTTAAGTGTTATATCTGAGGATTGCTAAAAAAAACTAGGATCCCAAAAAAAAAGGAAGAAGAGAGCTCCTTATTAGATCTTTATATTACTTTAACTAAAAATAAATATGAATTTAATTATATGGAAATGTTTAATACCCTATCTTATTTCTCATAAAAAGTATTGGAGATTTTGTGGCTATGCCAAATTAATTTATTTAATGCATATGGACTTCCACAAATTACATATTTATTCAGGACCATTCCACTTAGAGTAAATCTTAAGATCTTACATAATTGTAAAAGGCTCTTTAAGGATTTCATTTGGAAGGGTAAGAAGCCTAGGATAGCATATAATGTATTAATAAAACCTAAAAAAACTTGGAGGCGTATTGTATCCGGACATACATCAATTACATGAAGCAGCTTTGTTATCCCATTTTATATCTTGTTTAGATTTAAAAACACAAACTTCAGATTGGATCTACTTCGAAAAATTAGTTTTTTCAATATTTTTTGGTCTAATTTTTTTTTTATTTCTCAGCTCCAAAGCCAATTATTTATGATACAAAGCCCTCTATATTGAAGGAAAAAATAAATACTATTTAAGTAACAAGATATCCTATGCAACCCATTAAGACACTTTCATGTGACATAGTGGATTTAAATTTGACTATGGAAGACAAAAGAATATCCAAAATATTACAGATATCTTAGAAAACTGGAAAATTATGCCATTTTATCAATTACAAATTCAAAAACTCTCAAGCAGAGATATTTTTCCTTATTTATCTGAATAACAAAGTGTATATACATACTGTATATCAAGCATGTCAAACTTGCGGCCCCCAGGCTACATGCAGCCCACAGTGAATATATTTGCACCCCACCTGCCCTGGGGCCGCTTTATACTGTGGTTGTGACAGCCGCAAGACAGGAAAGATCCTGTCTGATTCTTCACTTTCCTCCAATGACCACAAGAAGGCAGAGTGTCTGTCTGTCGAGCAGGCCAGCCATTCCTCTCTGCTCCCAGTTTAACCTCTTAAGACCGGAGGGCGTACAATTACGCCCTATTTTAGGCGGCTCTAAACGCCGCCGGGCGTAATTGTACACCCTCCGGTTTTTGTTTACTTACCCGGTCGCCGGCGGTCCCAGCGAGGACCTCACAATCACATGGCCGGGAGATAGAGAATATATATATATATATATATATATATATATATATATATATACACACACACACACACTAATTCTACATAAATATATATGTAATATTTTTACATAATTAGGTATCTTAATTAATTACAATTAGCAGGACCTGCCTGACAACCCATGCCGAAAGTAAAGGGAATTTAATTTGCTAGCACTATATTTAACCCTATAACTTTCCAAGACACCATAAAACCTGTACATGGGGGTACTGTTCTACTCGGGAGACTTCGCTGAACACAAATATTAGTGTTTCAAAACAGTAAAATGTATTACAATGATGATATCGCCAGTAAAAGTGAAGTTTTTTGCATTTTTCACGCACAAACAGCACTTACATGGCATATTATTGCATGCACAAACAGCACTTACACGGACGATATTATTGCTGTGATATTTGTGTTTCAAAACAGCAAAAAGTATGTGTTCAGCGAAGTCTCCCGAGTACAACAGCACCCCTCATGTACAGGTTTTATGGTGTTTTCAAAAGTTACAGTGTCAAATATAAGGCTTGCGTTTCATTTTTTTCACATTAAAATTTCCAGATTGGGTACGTTGCCTTTGAGACCCTATGGTAGCCCAAGAATAAAAATTACCCCTATGATGGCATACCATTTGCAATAGTAGACAACCCAAGGTATTGCAAACGGGGTATGTCCAGTCTTTTTTAGTAGCCACTTAGTCACAAACACTAGCCAAAATTGGCGTTTTTTGCATTTTTCACACAAACAAATACTAACGCTAACTTTGGCCAGTGTTTGTGACCAAATGGCTACTAAAAAAGACTGGACATACCCCATTTGCAATACCTTGGGTTGTCTACTATTGCAAATGGTATGCCATTATGGGTGTAAATTTCATACCTGGGCTACTATAAAGTCCCAAAGGCAACGTGCTATATTTGACCCTGTAACTTCCCAAAAACACCATAAAACCTGTACATAGGGGGTACTGTTTTACACGTGAGACTTTGCTGAATACAAATATGTGTATTTTATTGCAGTAAAAAACAAACAGTATGACATTGACAGTTAAAATGTCATGTAGAACTAAAAAACACAACTTATTTTCTCCCATTTTTTTCATATTAAATTACGTTTCACAGCTAAATATTTGATATTAAATAAAAGCCCTGTTTCCCCTGAATAAAATGATATATAATAAGGGTGTGTGCATTTAATATGAAAGAGGTGAATTACGGTTGGACAGACATGTAGCGCAAATGCCAGGTTTTGTTTACATTTTGTTTCGTTCACAACGTGTACATTTGGCTCAGTCCTTAAGGGGTTAAGAGGAGCATCTGGCCTGCTTAAGCAGAGAAGAGCTGTAACTGGAGGATGGGGCGACTCATCTTAAGGTAGGGGAAGATGGGCTTGGGAGATTTTCTTGTGTAGTGTGTTAAATTACGGAGCGGGGGGGTGGCAGCGTATTAATTTGAAGAAGGCAGGGGGCAGTGCATTATTTGGGGGAGGGCAATGTATTAAATTAGGGGAAGGAGGAGGCAGTGTATTAGAGTGGTGATGGGGAGGAGGCAGTGTATTAGAGTGGTGATGGGGGGAGGCAGTGTATTAGAGTGGTGATAGGGGAAGCAGTGTATTAGAGTGGTGGATGGGGAGGCAGTGTATTAGAGTGGTGATGGGGAGGCAGTGTATTAGGAGTGCAAGTGATGGGGGAGGCAGTGTATTAGAGTGGTGATGGGGGAGGGAAAGGTATTAGGAGTGGTGATGGGGCAGTGTATTAGGAGGCAGATGGGGGGAAGTGTATTAGAGTGGTGTGATGGGGAAGGTATTAGAGTGGTGATGGGGAAAGTGTATTAGAGTGGTGATGGGGAAAAGTGTAATAGAGTGGTGATGGGGAAAGTGTATTAGAGTGGTGATGGGGGAAGTGTATTAGAGTGGTGATTGGGAAGTGTATTAGGAGTGCTGATGGGGGCCAAGGCATTAGAGTGGTGACAAGCAGTGTAATAGGAGTGGTGATGGGGCAGGCATTAGAGTGGTGATGGGGGGCAGCAGGCCAGGAGTGGTGGATGGGGGCAGGTATTAGAGTGGTGATGGGGCAGTGCATGGAGTGGTGATGGGGGCAGTGTATTAGAGTGGTGATGGGGGCAGTGGTATTAGGAGTGGTGGATAGGGGCAGTGTATTAGAGTGGTGATGGGGGGCAGCGGGCATTAGGAGGGTGATGGGGGCAGCGTATTAGAGTGGTGATGGGGCAGTGATAGGAGTGGTGATTAAAGGCGGTATTAGAGTGAAAGTGATGGGGCAGGTATTAGAGTGGTGGGGGAGCAAGTGTGTATTAGAGTGGTGATGGGAGTGTATTAGAGTGGTGATGGGGTAAGGGTGTATTAGAGAGTGGTGATGGGGCAGTGTATTAGAGTGGTATTGGGCAGTGTATTAGAGTGGTGATTAAAAGGTGTATTAGAGTGGTGATGGGGCAGGAAAGTGGGTATTAGAGTGGTGATGGGGGCAGTGTATTAGAGGGTGGTGATGGAAGCAGTGCATGTGGTGATGGGGCAGTGAGTGCAGGATGGGGGCAGTGTATTAGAGTGGTGATGGGGGGGCAGTGTATTAGAGTGGTGATGGGGGGGCAGTGTATTAGAGTGGTGATGGGGGGCAGTGTATTAGAGTGGTGATGGGGGGCGGGGGGCAGTGTATTAGAGTTTTTTTAAAGCTGCAGTGTTACATTTTACTCACATTAAAGGACCACTATAGTGCCAGGAAAACATACTCGTTTTCCTGGCACTATAGTGCCCTGAGGGTGCCCCCACCCTCAGGGTCCCACTCCCGCGGGCTCTGGAGAGAGGAAGGGGTTAAACACTTACCTTTCTCCAGCGCCGGGCGGGGAGCTGTACTACTTCTCTCCTCCTTGCTCGCGACGTCATCGGCTGAATGCGCATGCGCGGCAGGAGCCGCGCGCGCATTCATCCGGTCGCTATGGACGCTTGCGTGCTCTCACTGTGATTTTCAGTGAGAAGCACGCAAGAGCCTCTAGCGGCAGGATTAACCTTCAGTATAAACATAGCAGTTTCTCTGAAGCTGCTATGTTTATAAAAAAAAGGGTTAATCCTAGAGGTACCTGGCACCCAGACCACTTCATAAAGCTGAAGTGGTCTGGGTGCCTAGAGTGGTCCTTTAATGTTCCACTTCATCTATCAATGCCCCAATTGAGATACTTTACATGTATGACATCTAAAATAAAAAAATTCCCAAGTCTTTTTGTTTTGTTTTTAATTCCCTTTACTCGACAAGTGTATTAGAGTAGTGATGGAGGGGGCAGTGTGAAATTGGAAGGAAAGATTATTTATTTGTGTATTAATTTGGGGAGGGAGTGGGGCAGTGTATTAAATTGGTTGATACAAGGCTGAGTCCAGACATGCATGATAGCTTGACTGGGGCCCTGGAACTGCAGTTTTAGTTTTTTTAAAGCCGCAGTATTACATTTTACTCACATTAATGTTCCACTTCATCTATCAATGCCCCAATAGAGATACTTTACATGTATGACATCTAAAATAAAATTCCCAAGTCTTTTTGTTTTGTTATTAATTCCCATAACTCGACAAGTCTAGCATACATCACATATTTTATTCCTAAAATTATAGAATTTCATGCATGTACAATACATGCCATTTTATCAGGCCTGGGTCATGCTTTGCTTCTAAACTTGTAGACAGAAGTGGATATAGGAAAATTGTATGTGGAATCTCTCAAAAGCACATTGTAGAGTGTGGATAGAGGATAATTTCTTTTAATAAAATAAACAAATTTAGACGAAAACAAAAAAAACAGGTTCCAAGGAATGTTATGTTTGAAAACCTCTGTAAGGTTTCGATTAGTTTAATTTCTGTGCGTTTTAAACCCATTGGTAGTAGTTTTGAACTCGCATTCCACATATTTGAAGACAATGTGATATAAAATTGTTATGTTACACCCTACTCCCATTTACGTATCTGATTTGCGCACATAACGTGATAGTTGACGCAATGTAATCAGAATTGCACTGCATTCCAAATTACTGCCATGGCAATGTGTGTAAGGGGAGGAGGTTAAATGGTTCCTACAGAACCCCGAGATAAACGGAATGTTCGAATTTCACGTTTTATCAAAGCTCTAATAAAAAAAAAATGCATCCTGTGTATTCCCCAGGTACCGCGCTATACCGTATACACTCCACATGCAAACACTTACCGCAATCCCTGTATTTATCCCGTGTTGCACCGAGCACACAATCAGCACGGGCTCACCGTCGGCACATTTACACGTCACTTCCGCGCAATGAAAGGGAACTGGAAGATCACTAATTAGATTGGTGTCTTGAAAGGACGGAAGTGGTCGGGCTGGGTTATTTAGTGAAACCCTGGGGTTTATAGAATATTCGGTATACATTTCCCACCCTGTTTCTATGGCTGAAATAGAGTCATGCTATTTTAACCTAAATTTGTTATTCGGATTTCAATTTGCTGTTAAGGAATAAACGCAGCAAAACTGCTCCAAATTTAAAAAAAAATGACTGGCACAATTCACGCTAAAATAGCCAAAATGTTAACCCCTTCAGGACGGAGTCAATAGTGCACGTTCTGATCAAAACAAAACGTAAACAAAAACTGGAATATGTCTGTTCAACCCTAATTCACCTCTTTCATATTAAATGCACCCACACATTATATATCATTTTGTTCAGGAGAAACAGGGCTTTAATTTATCATTAACTATTCATATATGGAACATAATTTATTATGAATAAAATGTTAAAAAGTGAGAAAATAAGATTTTATTTTTTTAAATTTGGATTTCCATCTGACATTTTAGCTGTGAATGTCATAATACTGTTAGGTTTTACTGCACAAAAATGCACATATTTGTAATCAGCGATGTCCCCCCTCCCCCATTAACAGGTTTTATGGTGTTTTGGAAAGTTACAGGGTCAAATATAGAACGTTCCATTTTCAAATTGAGGCAGTCCTCAGGTAAGTATTTCTGAGGTTCCAGGGCTCAAAGCTGTTATGTCGTTCTATGCCGCCGCAAGGGCTTTAACCCCTTACCGACCAAAGACGGAGATTTTCCGTCAAGCTTGTCCGTGCGTTAAGAACCGTTGATGGAAAATCTCTGTCATTTACTAACGTTAACGCCATATCACTACAATCGTGGGGTTAATGCTGTTGCTGAGTACCTCGATGTCAGAGGCAGACCAGCAACCGCCAATAGAGCTGTCCCAGCACATGTGATCGCTGTGACAGCCAGTCACAGCGATCACAGTGCTGCTGGGATTCCTGATCCTCCTCCCTCCACCTCTGTGTGGTTTGAGAAGTGGAGAGAGACTGATCAGTGCTGCAACATTGTGTGCTATTTTAGCTTAAAGTGTATCTCTGTTATAAAAGTCATTTTAATACTTTTAAAACAGTGTTAACCCTTTCCTTGACCTTTTGATCACTGCCTGCAGTGATCAGTATAATGATCACAGTATTTAACTGTGATCTAATTTTTTTGTACCCTCAAGGGTTAATTATTATTTTTTTTAATTTAATTTGTTATTTAATTAATTTAACGTTAATTCCTTAGTTAGCTGGAGTGGGTGGACTTTAGTGGAAATTTGGGAAATTGAGTGTTAGGCTAGTTATAGACGAAAAGTTTAAAAAAATTCTGAAAAGTTTTTAAAAGTTAAAAAAACTATATAAAAAAGAAAAAAGGATAAAAATAGAATAAAGTAAAAAAAAAGTTTAAAAAAAAGTTTGGTAAAGTTACACCTTCATAACGTCTAGAAGGTACACTGCTGAGGAGGCGTATGATATACTAGCAGCCGACTCTGACGCCACAGACACTGCCTCTGAGAGTGGTAATGAGACTGTGCCAGATACTGCATGGCCCTCTGTTGTAAGCGCCAAGTCCCCTGACCTGGCTCATGACGCTGGTGACTGGGAACCAGGGGAGGGCTGGCAGCCTCAGACCAGGGGGGGCAAATCCAGTCAAGTGGCCCATTGCACCCCCGAACCAGCTCACCATCCATGCCCACCTTTTCCTGGTTTTATAACGGATATTGATGTTATGCTAATCAGTAGCTCTTTGCCATACCCACTCCTTTGTGGCTCCGACTTTCAATGTTGTTAGAGAGCAGGCTGAGAATCTCTGAGTCTGTGCTCTGACTCACTAACTAACCAAAAGGGAGAGGATATGATCTAAGGCACCTACTGTTGGTGTGCACCAGTAGACCACTAGGGAATCATTTCAATTAAAGGGACACTCCAGTCCCAGGAAAACAAATTATTTTCCTGGCACATCAGGTCCCCTCTCCCTCCCAACCCCCATCCAATGTTGCTGACGGGGTTAGAACCCCTTCAGTGACATACCTGAGACCTCCGCCCACGCTCCTCCCCTGTTGACGTCATCCAGCGGGGGAGACCGATTGCACATGCGCGGCCGCTGGCGGGGGAGACCTAATGCGCATGCTGCGCACGCGCATTAGATCTCTCCATAGGAAAGCACTGAAAATGCTTTCCTGTGGGGGTTTTAGCGACACTAGAGGTCCTCACATAGCGTGAGGACGTCCAGCGACGCTATAGCACAGAAAACCTGTGCTATAAACCAGGAAGTGCCCTCTAGTAGCTGTCTAGTAGACAGCCACTAGAGGAGGAGTTAACCCTGCAATGTAATTATTGCAGGTTATGAAAACTGCAGTATTTACAGTTGAAGGGTTGAGGGTAGTGGGAGTTGGCACCCAGACCACTCCAATGGGCAGAAGTGGTCTGGGTGCCTGGAGTGTCCCTTTAATGTGCTGGTGTCCCAAACTTGTGAGCTGTGTTGGCCACCGGGCGCCTCTGTTGTCATGGCACTCTACGTGACCCCACAGCTTGCACACCTCAAAGGCTGGCTTTGCTGACAGACACACGCACTCACACTCTCAATAGCACACGCACACACAAACCCTGACAGACAAACACTCACTGACAGGCAGACACAGACACATATACACACACACACACACACTTCCAGATACACACACTTACTGACAGACACACACTCACTTCCAGACACACACACACACACACTTCCAGACACACACACACACTCACTTCCAGACACACACACACACACACTCACTTCCAACACACACTCACACACACACACACTCAATTCCAGACACACACACACTTCCAGACACACATACACTCACTTCCAGACACACACACTTCCAGATACACACACTTACTGACAGACACACACTCACTTCCAGACACACACACACACACACACACACACACTCACTCACTTCCAGACACACACACACACTCACTTCCAGACACACACACACACACACACACACTTCCAGACACACACACACACTCACATTTCCAGACACACACACAAATTCCTTGTTGCTCCTACCTTTAGGAGTCCTCTGGGTCCTTGCCCCAGGGTCCAGTGACTTCATGCTCCTCTCTGCTCCCTCACGCAGTTTAGTGATGCGGGGCCGGAATTACGTCATATTCCGGCTCCCGGCATCACCAGAGAGGGCGCGCGAGGGTGCAGCGGCCGTTTTTTTAATTATTTAGGGCGGACTGGGGGGCAATTGCCTCCCTGCCCCCCGGCCCAACCCGCCCCAGCTGGGAACCCTTAAATGATTTCATGCCTGACATCCCAGTGTTTACTGGCAGTCCTGGAATTCCGTTGAACGTCACTAACTACAGTACACTGGATTTCATGCAGCTATTCTGGGGGGATGATATTTTAGGGGATATAGTCACCCAGACCAACCTTTATGCTGCGCAGTGCCTGACAATTAATGATCAGAGCCTCATCGCCAGGCAAGAGAGTTGGTACCCCACCAGTGTGCCAGAATTTAAAAAAATTGGGGCACTAACAATGCTAATGGGCATTATTAAAAAACCCAGCATCAAGATGTACTGGTCCAAAAATCCTGTATGCAGCGCCCCTATTTACTCCCAGACCATGAACAGGTCCAGATATGAAGCAATGCTTCACTTTTTATACTTCAACGACAATTCGAAGTGCCCCCCAAGAGATAATCCTCAATACGATAATCTCTATAAGATTCGCCCCCTTATTTCCCACTTCAACAGACAGTTTGGCTCAATGTACACCCCACAAAAAATATATGTGTGTAGATGAGTCTCTAATGAAATACAAGGGCAGACTGGGGTTTAAACAATATATCCTGGCCAAAAGATCCCAGTATGGGAAAAGTTGTATAAACTTTGTGAAAGTGCCAGTGGTTATGTGTACACCTTCCGTGTTTACGAAGGTAAAGACAGCCACTTGGATCTCCCAGGTTGCCCAGATATCATTGGGACGAGTGGAAACATCGTATGGGATTTAATTAGCCCATTGCTAAATAAGGGGTATCATTTATTTATAGACAATTACTATAATAGCATCCCTCTTCTTAGGATGCTTTATTGCTTTGAAACTGTGGCCTGCGGCACTCTCTGAAAGACACGTGTCGGTTTCCCAAAAGCCCTGGCACAAATGCTCAAGATGGGGGAAACGGCTGCTCTCTGCCAGGACGAACTGCTGGCTCTCAAATTCAAAGATAAGAAGGAAGTGTTCATGCTAACATCTATGCATACTGAGCACACTTGAAGAGTCGCAGTTCGTGGCAGACAAGAAATTAGACGGGGGGGCGGAGCTTGGCAGCCGATCCGAACGGACGCAGGGTAGATGGGCTCCGTGTATATCCAGAGCAAACTAACAATTTTCAGCCACCAAACTGCTGATAACAATGCCCAAACAACCCGAAACGACAATGAGAAGGAAAACCAAGAGGCAAAAACCAGACCGACCCAAACAGGGGGCCAACATAAGAGACCTCTTCAACCAGGCACAAGGTGCATACGGCCCCAAGATGGCCGCCGAACTCGAGGAATTCTCTGGCTCCTCGAGGGATTTCTACCCTGAGGAAGCCATTACCTCTGGGGAGGCCTCAACAGCAGGCACCAAGTCCAGAGGTGGCAGAACCAGTGATGGCGACGCTGTTGAAGACTCTCCTGGGAGACTTACAGAAAACCCTCCACGCAGATGTCGCTCAGCTACGCGCAGACCTCACGGGCCTAGTGGGCCGTGTTCAAGCGGCCGAAGTCACCTCCAAGCGGCAAGCACAGGAAATTTCAGAGCTCAGACAGGAATTGCAAGCTTTAAAACAAAAGCAGGCCAAAACTGACCAACGCTTTGCTACAATAGAAGACAACCGGCGCTGCACTAATCTCAAGATACGCGGGATCCCGGAGGACATACCCGATGAGGAAATCCCACACTTGCTACGGAGGCTCACGGGAGCCCTACTGACGCCTAAGCAAGCCAGGAACATCGGCTTTGACGCGGCCTTCCGACCCCGGAGAGCCCCTGAGGCGGCCCCAGAGACCTGGTGGTGAAATACAGAAGCACGCCCGACAAAATGGCGATACTTGCAGCCCTGAAGGGAGCAGCCACCTACAGCTTTGAATCAATGACCCTGTCCTTCTTTGCAGACCTGTCAGGGGAAACCCTACAATGGCGCAGGTCCCTACTACCTGTCATCAAACTGCTCCGAGACAAACAGATCACCTACCGCTGGCGCACGCCGTGCACTCTACACATACAACAAGGCCTACTCCATTTCGGACATCCAAGAAGCACCCACCTTGCTGCGAGTGCTGGGCTTACCTCTGGAGGGGCTGCCGCCCACCACTGCACCGGAACCAACAGTAACGGTTCCGAGATGGGATCCAGCGAAGACGATCCCCTTCTTCCCACAGGGTATGGGAAAACTGGAGTGCGCGGCAGCGACCCCGGGAGGGCCGGGCACTCACACCAGGACATTCTCCCATAATGCAGAACAATATAATACGGGACTGACAACCTGAATGAACACTTTCGTACACCTCTAACTTCATATGGAGGCGCTGCAATAACACCAAGAAAGAACCCTGACGGTATTTATGTATTTTTCGTTTGCATAGTTTTGATCACTGGCTCTTCTCTTATTATTATTTTTAAACCTTATGATATGCCTCCTAATATGTTTATAATGGCTGCCCCCCTATACAGCGCAGATCCCCCATATGCAGCACAGACCCCCCCATACAGCGCAGACCCCCATATGCAGCGCAGATCCCCCATATGCAGCGCAGACCCCCGCATATACTGCGCAGACTCCCCATATACAGCGCAGACCCCCATACAGCGAAGACCCCCATATACTGCGCAAAACTCCCTATACAGCGAGACACCCATACAGTGCAGACCCCCAGCGCCCCCCATATGCAGGGCAGACCCCCATATACTGCGAGACCACCCCTATACAGCGCAGACCCCCCATACCAGCCAAGCGCCAGACCCCCATCTCATGCAGTGCAGACCCCCATATGCGACCCCCTATACAGTGCAGACTCCCCATATGCGCAGACACCCCATATGCAGTGCAGACCCCCATACAGCGCCAGACCCCCATATACTGTGCAGAACCCCTATGCAGCCCCCATACAGCGCCAGACCCCCATATACTGCCCCCCCATAGGCGCAGACCCCCATACAGCGCCAGACCCCCAGACCCCCATATACTCGCAGACCCCCATATGCAGGCGGGACCCCCATATACAGCTGCGCCAGACCCCCATGCATATGCAGCTTCCCCTATGGCGCCAGACCCCCATATGCAGCGCCCCCATATACTCGCCCCCCATACCCCTATAGAAGACCCCCATACAGCGCCAGACCCCCATACAGCGAGACCCTATACCAGACCCCCATATGCAGTGCAGATCCCCATACAGCGCAGACTCCGCCAGAACCCCCATACAGCGCCCCCATACAAGCGCGACCCCCTATACAGCGCCAGACCCCATGGCGCGGACCCCCATACAGCGCAGACCCCCATACAGAGCCCCATATCCAGTGCAGACCCCCATATACTGCGCACCCCCATACAGCACAGACCCGCGGACCCCTCATATGCGCGACCCCCATATACTGCAGACCCCCTATAGAGGACAGACCCTCATATGCAGCGCAGACCCCCCATATACTGCGACCCCTATACAGCACAGACCCCTATGCAGCGCCCCCATGCAGACCCCCCCCATATACTCGCATGCGCCGCAGCACAGACCCCCCTATACAGCGCAGACCCCCATATGCAGCGCAGACCCCCCATATACTGCGCAGACCCCCCATATGCAGCGCAGACCCCAATATAATAATGTACTAAAACCCCCCCACTCCCCAATATAATGCACTGAAACCCCCCTAATATAGTACACCCTCCCCTCGGATGGCTGAGAGTGTTGGGAGCAGGGAGAGGCTTTACTCATCGATAAGAGTCCGCGTGCGCACTATGCCATTATTCGCCTCCTCGCTGTGATAAATCCCTACCTAGGTGGTGTGCGCCTGCGCGGTGGCGCACCCCCCCATCCCAACGTCACTTCCGGTGCGGCTTCGTCACCGGAAGTGACGAGGGTAGGGTTTTCTAACAGGGTAGGGAAATTTGATAGAACACCGGCACAAAAGTTACTGCAGATTCCTGTGTCAGCTCCGTTCTTGATCGGCTACTTCCGGGAGGCGGGGCTAAGCATGAAGATGTCAGATGAAACTTTTCGCCGAATCAAAACTGGCTTCCTATAAGTGTATATAAGTGTGTTTTTTCACAATATTAACCCCTTAAGAACTGGACTGTTTTTGTGATGTTGTTCATTTGCGACCAGGCCTCTTTTTACACTTTTCTGGTGTTTGTGTTTAGCTGTAATTTACCGCTTTCTCATTTACTGTTCCCATACAAATTATATATTGTTGTTTTCAGGACAAAAGGGGCTTTCTTTACATACCATTATTTATATAATCTCATGTAATTTAATTAAAAAAAAAAAAGAAAAAATATGATGAAAAATTGAAAAAAATACATGTTTTTTGACTTTTACTTGAAAAATCTTTTACTCATCTACAAAAGCAAATGAAAAAAACTGCTAAATAGATTCAAAATTTTGTCCTGAGTTTAAAAATACCCAGTGTTTACGTGCTTTTTTGCAAGTTATAGGACTATAGGCACAAGTAGGATATGGCAGTTTCAAAACAAACATTTTTAAAATGTATCAATAGTGACATTGTAACACTATTATCTGTCATAAATCTCTGGAAAACACTCCACATGTATATATTTTTTTTAAAGTAGACAACCCAGTGTATTCATCTAAGGATATTTTGACACTTTCTATGCAGTCATTTTACCACTACTCTTTGCCAAACTTTGCATAGGTAGTTTTTTTGTTGTTTTTTTTTTTCACATACATTACAATTCAGGTATAAACTTACAGATCCTGTTATGTCTTGCTGCCAAAAAACACATTAATATATGTTCAGCAACATCTCCCGAGTAGTCGGGTTGTTTGGGGGCTATAAGGCCACATTTGGCAGGTGCGCATACCCATTTTTCAACTTGGAATTTTGACATGTAGTCAACCTGCGCACATCCTATTTGGGACTTTTGTAAGGCAGGCCAATGTATTTTACCCCCACCAAACCATATATTTTTGGAAAGTAGACACCCTAGGGTATTTCAAATGGTGGTTTTTTAACACTTTCCATGCACTAACTCTACCATCAGACTTTGTCAAACATTTAGGTAGTCATTTTTTGTGTGTTTTTTTTCACACACATTGTACTTTAGGCATGAATTAACAGATCGTGTTATGTGTCACTGCCAAACAACATGCCAATATGTGTTCAGCAACATCCCCTGAGTACAGTGATACCACCCATGCATAGGCTTGTTGGATTGTTTGGGGGCTAAAAGGCCACATTTGGCAGGTGCGCATATCCATTTTTCAACTTGGAATTTTGACATGTAGTCAACCTGCGCACATGTCCTATTTGGGACATTTGTAAGGCCGGCCAATGTATTTTACCCCCACCAAACCATATATTTTTGGAAAGTAGACACCCTAGGGTATTTCAAATGGTGTTTTTTTTTTAACACTTTCCATGCACTAATTCTACCATCAGACTTTGTCAAACATTTAGGTAGTCATTTTTTGTGTTTTTTTTCACACACATTGTACTTTAGGCATGAATTAACAGATCGTGTTATGTGTCACTGCCAAACAACATGCCAATATGTGTTCAGCAACATCTCCTGAGTACAGTGATACCACCCATGCATAGGCTTGTTGGATTGTTTGGGGGCTAAAAGGCCACATTTGGCAGGTGCACATATCCATTTTTTATTTTTTTTATTTTTTTTATTTCAAGGCTTTATTAAGGCATAGAGTTGTAATTACAGTTACAGTAGAACATTATTACAGTGAAGGTGTACAGGAGATTCGCAGGTCTCATTGTCATAGGACAGTGACACAGAGGTTTTTCACCTATTTGGCTGTTTGCTTCTGCTGCTGCTAGCAGTCAGATAGTTCAGACATTTGGTTAACAATTTTTTCATGTTGGAATGTCACCCGTCAGCAGGTGAAGGCCAGTTCGGGGGTTGAGTTGTAAAGGCAGATATTGTTGTTAATATATGATAAGCATCTAACGGCAATACAATAGCATTCATGGCACGTCACCTAGCCTTGTTAGACAGGTCAGTAAAGTGTACAGCTTTGTTGTGGTCTATGTAAGGACATAGGTTGCATTGTAGATTATACAGTAGGAATTTTGAGCTATGTGGTCAGTGGCGTACATACCAGGGTCGCAGGGGTCGCGGCTGCGACCGGGCCGGGCCCACCAGGGGGCCCGGCCGCCCCTGCGACCCGGTATGTACGCCCAGCCTCTTCCCCTGGGGGGCCCAGGAGCCGGCCACCCCAGGGCCCCCCTGAGGCTGGCCCTGCTGACCCCGGGTGAGTGGGAGTGGGGCAGGCAGGCGGGCGCGCGAGGGAGCACTCGGTGCTTCCTCTTCAGCTCCCTCGCGCGCCGCGTAGGGATGCCGGCGCCGGAAGATGACGTCATCTTCCGGCTCCGGCATCAGTGAGGTGCGCGAGGGAGCTGAAGAGGAAGCAGTGAGTGCTCCCTCGCGCGCCCGCCTTCCTGCCCGACCGGCCACCAGCCCAGGAGCCCAGCAGCACCACTGGACCCCAGGGAATCCCCCCAGCCCTCCAAAAGGTAAGGAGGCTGGGGGGATTACATTTAAAAAAAAAAAAAAGTGTGTGTGTTAGTGTATGTGTATGTTAGTGTGTGTGTATGTGTGTTAGTGTTTGTGCATGTATGTGTGTGTTAGTGTTAGTGTGTGAGAGTGTTAGTGTATTCAGTATTGGGGAGTGTATAGAGAGTGTTAGGTGTGTGAGTGTTAGAGTGAGTGTTGGTGTGTGGTAGAGTGAGAGTGTTAGTGTGTGTCTTGCTGGTAGGTGTTAGTGTGTGTGTGTCTGCTGGTGAGTGTTGAGTATTGAGTGTTACTGTGTGTGTCTTGGAAGGTGTGTGTTTGTCAATGAGGTGTATGTTTTGTAGAGGTAGTGTGTATGTATGTCTGTGGCTGACTGTGTCTCTGTCAGTAAATGGAGTGTCTGTTAGCTAGAGTGTGTGTCGTCTGTAAGTGTGTGTGTGTGTGTGTGTGTGTGTGTAGCACTTACCTTTCCTACTCAGGCGCTGGACTCCTTGAGGATCCCTCAGCCTCTCAAGCTCAGTCACGACCATGCATTCCAAACCTTGTATAGGAAAGCGTACTCAATGCTTTCCTATGGATGTTCAGTGTGCTCCTCTAGCGGCTGTCAGTGAGACAGCCACTAGAGGCTGGATTAACCCTCAGTGAAACATAGCAGTTTCTCTGAAACTGCTATGTTTTCAGCTGCAGGGTTAAAACTAGAAGGACCTGACACCCAGACAACTTCATTGAGCTGATGTGATCTGGGTGTCTGTAGTGGTCCTTTAAAGGACCACTATAGTGCCAGGAAAACATACTCGTTTCCTGGCACTATAGTGCCCTGAGGGTGCCCCCACCCTCAGGGACCCCCTCCCGCCCGGCTCTGGAAAGGGGAAAGGCACACCTTTTCCAGCTGGAAGTAGAGAAATATCCTCCTCAGTCCTCCTCTTCTCCTCCCCGTCGGCTGTATGCGCACGCACGACAAGAGCTGCGCGCGCATTCAGCCGGTCACATAGGAAAGCATTCATAATGCTTTCCTATGGACGCTGGCGTGCTCTCACTGTGAAAATCACAATGAGAAGCACGCAAGCGCCTCTAGCGGCTGTCAATGGGACAGCCACTAGAGGAAATAGGGGAAGGCTTAACCCATTGATAAACACAGCAGTTTCTCTGAAACTGCTATGTTTATGAAAAAATGGGTTAACCCTAGCTGGACCTGGCACCCAGATCACTTCATTAAGCTGAAGTGGTCTGGGTGCCTAGAGTGGTCCTTTAAGTGTGTGTGCATCTGCATGCACTGGCGTACATACCGCGGTCGCAGCCCTGTAACCCCTGCGACCAGGTGCCCACCGCCATGTGTTGCGGCCCGGCCCGCGTGCGCGGGGGGAGGGGGGGGCCCACGGATCAATTTTCGCACCGGGGCCCCATGGGTCATGTGTACGCCACTGTATGTGGTGCATTCTCTTAGTACAGCTAGCCTGCTGGATGGGGTAGGTATTAGATGGCAACCACTCGTCGTGTTTTCAGTGGTTCCTGGGTTGTTGGTGGTGTGTTGGGCAGGTTTTCTGATTTGGCAAGCCGAGTACGGCGTGCGGAGGTGGGTGGAGGGGGTGTGTGGGCAGCAGGGAGACACGGTTCTGGGATCTCTGTCAGGTAGGCCTGTTCAAGATCCGTTGGGGTGGAGGGCGGGGAGCAGTTCTCGAGGAGTGGGGCGTTTGGAAGTCGAGGGTCCGTCAGGTAGTTTTGTCCTGTGTGTGTGTTTGCTGCGGGTGTCCCCTCTGTGCTAGTCGCTGTTCTTTAATGTGTGTAGGCGGTGGTTGTGTGTGTGTCATGCGTCAGGGTGTTGTCTTGTTGGGGTGTCACTTCTGTGTCTGGTGTCCGTCTGTGTCTGTTTAAGGCTCCGGTTAGCGTCGGGGGTGTATCGGTCGAGCAGGTACTGTTCCGGGTTGTGAGGGTTGAGTGGTGTCTGGTATCGCGGTATAGTGTTCTTGGGTATTGGGCGCTTGGGCAATCTTGTTGGGTTGGTTCATCCCTTATCCGGCGTGTGCTGGTCGTGGTGGGTCTTTTGTGAGTGCTGTGGTGTGTAGTCTGTCTCGCAAGTGAGGGGGCGTCTCTGTGTGTGTAGGTTGTGTTCTCATGTGTTTTAATGTGTGTTATGGGGGGGCGGGGGGATGGGGATGTAGGTTAATGGGGTGAGGATATTGCGGGTGGGGGGGAGGGTGCAGGAGGGTAGGGGGGGTGTCAGGTCCCGGGTCCCCACCCCAACCCCCCCCCCGTCCCCGGGGCTCGGGGCATCTCCAGCTCCGCGTGGTCGTCTTCGTTTGGTTGGGTCGTTGGTCCAGCTTCCGTATTATCGCCAGTCGGTTCCGTCAGGACCGTCCCATCTGCCTCTACTGCCAGGTGTTGTGTGGCCCCCGTAATTGGTGCGGTGGAGGCGAGCCATTGGAGCCAGTGGTACCACGCATCGTGGTAACGTTGTATGCATCCCGTTGCGGAGTGGATGAGCTCCTCGATGCGTCTGATGTCTTCCACCCTCGTCATCCATTCCCTGATAGTCGGGGCCGTGCGTTGTTTCCAGTGCCCCGGGATGAGGCTGCGGGCTGCGTTCATTAGGTGTGGGAGTGCTGTTTTTTTAAACCTGTTGATGGGGATCTGTGTAAGTTGGAGCAGGTATGTTTCTGGTGAGAGGGGCAGGTTTGCTTCTGTTATGGTTGTGAGTATCTTGTGGATCTCTGCCCAAAAGGGCTGGATAAGGGGGCAGGACCACCATAGGTGGAAGAGGGATCCCAGTTCTCTCCCGCATCTCCAGCATTCCGGGTCATTCGTGGTTTTCATCATGCTAAGTTTTTCCGGTGTCCTGTACCAGTGGGAGAGCATTTTATATCCTGTTTCTTGGAATTTGGTGGAGATGGAGGCTTTGTGTGTGAGTGTAAACACCGTTGTCCATTGTTCCGCTGAGATTGAGTGTCCTAGATCCCTTTCCCAGTACTTTGTGAAGTAAGGGGGGGGTGCGTTAGTGGTGGTGGTGGTTTGCATGCGGTACAGTATCGATATTGCGTGTGGGGGGGGTTCATGCAGATGGTCTCGAATACGGAGAGCGTTCGCGTTGCCGAGTCTAGGGTCGGTATGCTTCTCAGAAACCTCGTCAGTTGGTGATATCTGAAGCGTAGGAGCATATTGTGTGGAGTATTTGGGACCAGGGTGGTCAGGGGCGTGATTGTGCCTTGGTCATAGACGTCCTTCAGTCTGCAGGGGGTCGGTAGGCCCAGGGCAGCCGTGTAGTGGGGGTCTGATGCAGGGATAAATTTCGGGTTGTGAGATATGGGCATAGTGGTGAGAGCTCCGGGGCTACGTCTGTGTGGGTCGCCAGTCTCCTCCAGACTGCCATTGTAGCATTTAGGGTTGGGTGGTTCCGTGGTAGTTCCCCGGCCATTGATTTCGGCAGCCAGGGTAGCAGCGTCAGGGGTATCTGTGAGAAGCTGGCCTCTATGGAGATCCATAGCTTGTCTTTCGGGTCTTGTGTCCATTCGATCACTCGCTGAAGGTGTATAGCGTGTCTGTATTTCGTGATATCGGGTAGTCCCAAGCCTCCCTGTAGTTTGGGTCTGGTGAGGGTGGCGAAATTCAGCCTCGGCGTTTTGCGGGCCCAGACGTAGGCCATCAGTGTTTTACGGGTTTGTGTTAGGAAGGTTTTGGGGATATAGATTGGTAGGGTTTGTAGGAGGTACAGGATTTGGGGGAGGATATTCATTTTAAGGACACTGATCCTTCCCAGCCACGTAATGTGCGGGAGCTGCCACGAGTCGAGGTCCTTCTGTATTCGTTCAAGGAGGGGTGGGAAGTTGATGCGGTAGGTGTCTTACACATCAGCTGTCAACCAAATCCCTAAGTATTTAATCCTTTCTTTGCACCAGTGAAAAGGGAACTCTGTTTGCAGTGCAGTTGTCAGTGCTAGGGGGCAGTTTACGTTGAGAATTTCAGATTTCATAAAGTTAATTTTCAAGTTGGAGAGGGTGCCGTATAGGTCGAATTGGTGCGTGAGCTCCCTAAGGGAGGTTGCCGGGTTGGTGATTGTGAAGAGGAGGTTGTCCGCGTATGCGGAGACCTTGGTGTCTCCCCAGCTGCCCTCGATTCCAGTTATGCGGGGTTGGGCTCGAACTGCATTGATGAACGGTTCCAGGCTGATGGCAAAGCGTAGGGGTGATAGGGGGCACCCTTGTCTAGTGCCGTTTCTGATCTCAAATGGGTCAGAGAGAATCCCATTAACCTGCACTCGGGCTGCTGGAGCGGTATATAGGGCCAAGATGCGCACCATCATGTGGGGTCCCAGTCCCAGGTGTTCCAGGGTGGACCTCAGGAAAGACCAATCGACCCTGTCGAACGCCTTCTCCGCGTCGGTCGAGACTATCAGGGCGGGGGAGTGTCTTTCTCGGGACGCGTGGAGAAGATTGAGTGTCTTCCCGGGCCTCCACAAAGCCCACCTGGTCAGGGTGGATAAGGCTCGGTAGCAGGGGTTGGAGGCGCAGGGACAGTATTTTGGCAAACAGTTTGAGGTTGGCGTTCAACAGGGAAATTGGTCTGTAACTGGCATATGAGGAGGGGTCTTTTCCCTCTTTCGGGATTACCACGACGTGTGCTAGGAGCATGTTGGGGTCTAAGGGGCCTCCGCAGTGTATTGAGGTGTAAGTAGGTGTGGGACGAGGTTATCTGCGAACATTTTGTAGTACTTTGCCGTGTATCCATCTGGCTTTTCCCCAGTTTGGCCAGTTTGATGGCTAGGCGTATCTCCGCTTCAGTGATATCTTCTTCTAGTGTAGATATATCTTGGGGTGTCAGCGTTGTAGTGATATTCTGTTCGATATATGTTTTTTGCCGTGCTGTGTAAGCCTCCTCTCCTTCGTGTGTAAGTGTAGTGTTGGGAGATAGGCAGTATAGGGAGGAGTAGTATTGTCTGAAGCCCTCTGCTAAAGCCTTCGGGGTCTGCAGTGTGTTTCCTGCCAGGGAGATCCTTTGAACATGGTTTTTCTGTCTCCGGGCCTTTAGTGCCCTAGCGAGCAGTTTACCACTTTTGTTTCCGTATTTGTAGAACGTTTTTTGTGTGAGTTGGAACTAGAATTGTATTTTTGACGTTAGGCAGGAGTTGAGTTTCGCTCTGGTCTCTAGGAGTTGTTTGTAGGTTTCGTCTCGGAGGTCTTGTTTGTGAAGCTTTTCTAGACGCGCCAGTTGGGCAGCGAGGCGCGCTATTTCTTGTGTGCGTTGTTTTTTCAGGCGAGTGCCGTGTTTAATGAGGATCCCTCGGATAGCGCATTTGTGTGCTTCCCAGATGGTTGTTGGTGCGCTGTCTGTTGTTTGATTGGTGAGGAAGAAGTGGTCTAGAGTGTTTCTAATTTCTGTTTGGATCAGTGGGTCCTCTAAGAGTGATTCATTAAGTTTCCATGTCCATTGGGATCGGAAGGTTCTAGGGTTGTCGATGGTGAGTATTACTGGTGCGTGGTCCGACCAGGTCATGGGGGCGATGTGAGCTGAGCGCTTTGTGTCTAAATCTCTGTGTTGGATGAAGAAGTAGTCAATCCTTGAGTAGGATTTATGTGGCGCTGAGTAATAGGTGTAATCTTTCTCTGCGTGGTGTAGGATGCGCCAGCAGTCTACGAGTTGGTGAGCTGCCAAAAGGGTCCGCAGTCCTCTGAGGACATGGTCCGGGATCGTGGAGCTCCCTTTAGATGTGTCCATCTTGGGGTCTAGAGGGGCGTTGAGGTCCCCTCCTATTATGACAGTTCCTGCACTGAACTCCTCCAGGTTTCTCAGGGCTGAGGCTAGGAATGGTTTTTGGCCTTTGTTTGGGAGGTAAAGGTTTGCGAGTGTGACTTGAGCGTCACCTATATGTCCTTTGAGAAAAAGGTATCTACCTTCTCGGTCTTTCTCTTCTGCTTCCAGGCGGAACTGGGTGTCCGCCGAGAATAATATGGCCACTCCCTTGGATTTGGTGGAGGGGTTATGCGCATAGTAGCCGGTTGGGAAGTATTTGTCTGAGAATTTGGAGGCTTTTGTTGCTAGAAAGTGTGTTTCTTGGAAGAAAGCTATTGATATCTTAAGTGCTCGAATTTCTCGCAGCGCTCTTGCTCGTTTTTGTGGGGAGTTCAGGCCCTTCGCGTTGATCATGTAGAGGTTAATTCCTGTCCTCGCGCGCCCGGGGCGTGGGGGGTGGGGGGGCAGTGGGCCCATCGTATCCGGGTAGCGGGGTAGGGGGGTGTGGAGAGGGGGAGGAAAAAGGGAAGAAGAGGGGGGGATCGAAGGGGAGGTTAGACGGGGGGGTAGTTCAAGTGGTGTGGTGTGTGGCGGTTATGTCGAGTCGCAGAGGCGACTGTTGTGAGGGGTAATGTGCCACTGGTAGGTGGGTGTCCGGGGACCGTGTCCCTCATGGCCACCTCACAGTCTCTTGGCAGTAAACCCGTGGGGCAGGTGGCGTCGATGGTTAGGTAGGTCACCTACTTTGGGGTGTCGTCTGGTGACGTATCACTTTCTGTCAGCATCCGTCTCCTGCTGCCCAGTAGTGGTGGTGTCTGGCATCCAGAGGGGTAGTACCGTTCTAGCAGGTCAGTTTACAATGAGGTGAGTGGCCATGATGGTCGCCCCGTGGCGCTATCCTGTTATCGTTCATTACGCAATTGTGTCGAGAGCGTGCATAAGAACATAAGAACAGTATTCGTGAGAACAACATAATAACAGCATAAAAACATGGTTACACAGATTATGTCCCCAGTATCAGGGAGAACATCAGAAACTTTTATGAATATTTAGAGATAGTTTGAGCATGTTCGCGCAGCACAGGGGGCCCCTCATAAAATAGAATGATGTTTGCGCCCCGTGGTGCGCTTTCACCTTACATATTTCATATAGCAAGGTAGGAGGAGGAGGACAGAAAGTTAGGGGGGTGGTGGGGGGTACAGAAGGGGAGAGAGAGAAGAGAAAAAAAAAAGAAGAAAAAAAGGGGGGGGGGGGGGTAGTTAGTGAAGTCAGCAAACAATTATTGGTAGAAAACAATACACTTTGTTGGAACCAGTGAGTGTAGGTGCCGCCATCGCCCCTCGGGCACTCACAGGGGGCGAGGCAGAGTTGCTCTCAACTGTAATTCGGGTGTTCACAACTGTAATTCTGTTTGAGGAACACTGAGCATTCATCCTGCGGTATTCAGTGGTTGGTGAGTGGTGTGTCCCCGCCTTCTGGTGTGTTTGTGGTGTCTGAGGTGTGGTCTCTGGTGGATGCCTCAGAGGCAGGGCTGTCTATAATATGAATAGGACCCCGGGCAAAGCCTTTTCTTGGGCCCCCTGGGCCCTGTCACTGCACCCTCCCTCCCCATTACGCCCAACCCGCAATCACACTGACAGACATACTGACACATACACACACAGACAGACACATTAAAACATTTGCAGATACATACTGACACACACATACACTGACACAAAAATATATACTGGCAAACATTGACACACATTCAGACATACTGATACACACACAGACACATACATACTCACAGATACATACACTGACAGATATATTGACAAAGACACACACAGACACATACACTGACAGGCGTATTGACATACACAGACATACTAACATACACACACACACACTGGAACACAGTGAGACATACTGACATACACACACAGACATACTGACATACAAACACACAGACATACACACAGTATGTCTGTGTGTGTTAGTATGTCTGTGTGGTGTGTTAGTATGTCTGTGTGTGTATGTCAGTATGTCTGTGTATGTCAGCATGTCTGTGTGTGTATGTCAGTATGTCTGTGTGTGTTAGTATGTCTGTGTGTGTATGTCAGTATGTTTGTGTGTGTACATGTCTGTGTGTGTGTATGTCAGTATGTGTGTGTATGTCTGTGTGTGTGTATGTGTCAGTATGTCTGTGTGTGTGTATGTCAGTGTGTCTGTGTGTGTATGTCAGTATGTCTGTTATAGACACACACAGACATACTGACATACATACACAAACAGACATACTGACACAGACATACTAACACACAAACACATACTAACACACACACACACACAGACATACTAACACACACACACAGACATACTAACACACACAAACACAGACATACTAACACACACAGACATACTAATACACACACATACTGACATACATTTAGCCACCCTCCAGGTTCTTACCTTTTTATGGAGGGTGGTTTCCCTGGGGTCCAGTGGCAGGCTGAGGCAGATGGGAGTTCTTCTCTGAAACTCCCCTCCTCCCTGCCTTCCTCCTCCCGCGCGGCTATCTCCGGTGGGAGGAAGTGACGCGCGGCACTCACTTCCTCCCAGCCGGAACAGGAAGGGGCCCGGTCGCGCTGTTTAAGCGTCACAGCGCCCGACCGGGCCCCTTCTGCCACATGCCCACAGGGTGGCCCTTAGTGCATGGGCCACCCGGGGGCCTCCTTAGTTGGCGGGCCGGTGCGGCTGCACCGCCGGGTACACGGGGGCTGCTGAAATCGCGGGGCCCACGGGGCAGCTGCTCTGGGGCCCCCCCAGGAGCAACTGGGCCCGGGGCAGCTGCCCCATTTGCCCCACGCTAAAGACGGCCCTGCTCAGAGGTGTGTGTGTTGCCGGGTTGCCTGTGTTGCAGGTATGGTCTGTGTGTGTGCCTGCGGTTTGGTTAGGTAGTGAGGGTGTCTGGGTTCATCTTGGGTGTATTTGGGGGGTTCCCTTCTAGGTGTAGTGGGTGTGTGTGTGTGTGTATGTGTGTGTGGGTGGATGGTAGTGTACAGGTGTGTAAGGAGTGCGAGCCCCAAAGGTATACTTGCTCTTGCGATTCGTTCTACGGTGGTGGAAGCCTTGACAAGCAGTCCAGGGTGATGCCGGGGTGTCAGTTCAAGGCATCATGCCAGCAGTCGTCTCTATAGGGGGTTTGGGGCTTGGCGGGTGGGGGTCTATGTCTCGTATTGTAGGGCAAAGGAATCTTATGTGGAGCTGGCCAAGGTATGGGTGCACTGGCGAGTCCTTTGGGGATGTCTCTGTTGAGGTAGCAGTGGTCTCGGTGGTGTTGAGCAAGTCATGGACTCGGGGGGCAATAGATGTTGGCCCAGTTAGCTGATGAAGCAAGGTGGTTCCAGGTCTTTGGGTCGGTGAGATGCGGGTGGATGTCCGTTCTTGGTGGTGTGTCTTGGCGGCGGTGAGTTGCAATCTGTTTTCTCCCCTTGCTGGTTGCAGGTGTCTCTGGAGTTGCCGTATCCCTCCCGCTCCCCCCAGCGTGGTCGTGACAGTGTTGCACAGTCGTGTTCAGGCTGGTGTTGCAGGGTGGGTGGCGGGAGGGGGGGTAGGCAGGTGGTGGTGTCTCCATCTCTCTATTCCTCGGGGTCAATTAGTCAGTGATGGGTGCGCGGGGCGTCTCTGTCAGGCCCCTGTTGGATGTTACGTTGTGTTGGTCTCCCTGTGAGGCGTTCATTAAGCGGGCATGCAGTCCAGTCCGGAATAGGAGTGCGGGGGAGGTTTAGAGCCTCCTGGAAGGCCAGTACATCTTGCGGCGTTCGGATTACGGCTTCCGTGGTGCCCTGTCTGGCTGAGAGGGCGAAAGGGAACTGCCATCTGTAGCGGATTTGGGCTTCTTGCAGGGCGGCGGTGAGGGGCCGCAAGGCTCTTCGGGCCTGTAGGGTGAGGTGGGATAGGTCATTGTAAAGCTCTATAGCCTGTCCCTCAATTCTCCAGGTTCTTTCTGTGCGTGCTTTTCTCATAATTTCTCCCTTTAGTTGGAAGTCTTGTATGTGGCAAATTAAGTTCCTGGGGGGAGCACCCGGGGGGGGCTTGGATCTCAGTGCCCTATGTGCCCTGTCCATGTGGATGCGGGCGTCCCTGGGCCTGCCCAGTATGAGGTTAAAAATCGGGGTCAGCGTGGCCCTGGCGTCCTCTGTTGTGTCAGATTCTCTGCAGCCCCTTACCCTGATGTTATGTCTGCGACTGCGGTTATCAAGGTCCTCTATGTGAAGGCGCAGATCTTGTATGTGCCTGGAGTGAGCCTCTGTAGCTTGTAAAGCAGGGCAGTGTGGGTTGGGGCCCTGTGACTCTAGGGCCTGTACCCTTGTCTCGAGCGCTGTGCGCAGGGTGGCTTTTACCTCATCTAGCAGTGACTGGAAGTCCTCCTTTTTCGGCAGGGATGTAAACAGTATGTACCAGTCTGGTGTCTGTGGGGCCGGCCAGCCACTTTCGGTGCGCTGGTACTCCTCCGACAGCGTGGAGCTCAGGGAGGAGGGCGCCATATTGGAGGCCTCCTCCTGGGAGAGGAAATCTCCTGGCGTGTGTAAGTAGCTGCGGATGGAGGGGTGCGAACTGTTCCCCTGTGTTCTCGGCATGGAGGGGGTCATCTGGGCTCTCTTGGTGCGACCCATGGGTGCCAGGTTGTGCTTGTGAGATGTGCTTGTTTGCAGCCTGGAGCGGAGCTCGGGAATTAGGCGGTCATTCCTGTTTGGCGCCAAGCCACGCCCCCCATTTTTCAACTTGGAATTTTGACATGTAGTCAACCTGCACACATGTCCTATTTGGGACATTTGTAAGGCAGGCCAATGTATTTTACCCCCACCAAACCCTATATTTTTGGAAAGTAGACACCCTAGGGTATTTCAAATGGTGGTTTTTTAACACTTTCCATGCACTAATTCTACCACCAGACTTTGTCAAACATTTAATTAGTCATTTTTTGTGTGTTTTTTTTCACACACATTGTACTTTAGGCATGAATTAACAGATCGTGTTATGTGTCACTGCCAAACAACATGCCAATATGTGTTCAGCAGCATCTCCTGAGTACAGTTATACCACCCATGCATAGGCTTGTCGGATTGTTTGGGGGCTAAAAGGCCACATTTGGCAGGTGCGCATATCCATTTTTCAACTTGGAATTTTGACATGTAGTCAACCTGCACACATGTCCTATTTGGGACATTTGTAATGACGGCCAATGTATTTTACCCCCACCAAACCATATATTTTTGGAAAATAGACACCCTAGGGTATTTCAAATGGTGTTTTTTTTAACACTTTCCATGCACTAATTCTACCATCAGACTTTGTCAAACATTTAGGTAGTCATTTTTTGTGTGTTGTTTTTCACACACATTGTACTTTAGGCATGAATTAACAGATCGTGTTATGTGTCACTGCCAAACAACACGCCAATATGTGTACAGCAACATCTCTTGAGTACAGTGATACCACCCATGCATAGGCTTGTCAGATTGTTTGGGGGCTAAAAGGCAACATTTTGCAGGTGCGCATATCCATTTTTCAACTTGGAATTTTTACATGTAGTCAACCTGCGCACATGTCCTATTTGGGACATTTGTAAGGCCGGCCAATGTATTTTACCCCCACCAAACCATATATTTTTGGAAAGTAGACACCATAGGGTATTTCAAATGGTGTTTTTTAAAACACTTTCCATGCACTAATTCTACCACCAGACTTTCTCAAACATTTAGGTAGTAATTTTTTGTGTATGTTTTTTCACACGCATTGTACTTTAGGCATGAATTAATAGATCCTGTTATGTATCACTGCCAAACAACACCCCAATATGTGTTCAGCAACATCTCCTAAGTACAGTTATACCACCCATGCATAGGCTTGTCGGATTGTTTTGGGGCTAAAAGGCCACATTTGGCAGGTGCACATATCCATTTTTCAACTTGGAATTTTGACATGTAGTAAACCAGCGCCCCTGTCCTATCTGGGCCAATGTATTTTAACCCCATCAAACCATATATTTTTGAAAAGTAGACAACTCAGGGTATTTTAAATGGTGGTAGTTTAATACTTGCAATAATTCTACCACCAGCCTTTGGCAAACTTTTGGGTAGTAATTTTCTTTGTGTTTTTTTACACATACATTGTACTTTAGCCATGAATTAACAGATCCTGTTATGTATCACTGCCAAACAACACCCCAATATGTGTTCAGCAACATCTCCTGAGTACAGTGATATCACCCATGCATAGGTTTGCTGGGTTGTTTGGGGGCTAAAAGGCCACAATCGAGACTTGTACATATCAGTTTTTCAACTTGATATATAGGTATGCTTGGCCTATCTTCAGTTTGGCATATTTTTGCATCCCCCCGTTAATGTTAACATCATGAAAGTTTATATTTTTATAAAGTAGACATTCCAGGGTATTGTATATGAGGTGTTTTCACATCCTTCCCCCAACCATTGTGCTAAACAAATTTCAGAGAACGTGCATGGTGGTAATTTTTTAATTCTGCTTTTTATGCACACGTCATCTGGTTTTGGCCAGCCAGTTATATGTTACTACCATAAAACTTTTTTAACCAAATGTGCAGGTATCAAATGCACCTTTAGCAGCATTCTCTAAACTAACTCCTGCAAAAAGAATCTAATTGGAGATTTGGGGGGAAGGAAACTGACTAACTAAAATTTGCTGCTTTCAAAAGAAAAAAAACAGTGCAAAGGGGTGTCTGTCCTTTTCCCTTTTTTATAACAGACCCAGTAACATTTCAGGGGATTTGTTTTTTTTTGCAGTTGGCGGTATCTTAAAAATAAAATGTCTGGACTCCTCTGGCACCGTTGTTGGAACTTGACCATCTCCATAAATTATTGTGGAAATCAGCTTGAACTAAAATTGGAGAAAGGTGATTCTTTCTGGATTCATTTTTTTAAAGAGTAAAAATGAATTATGTGTTGCTACTTGCATCAGGTAGATAGCCACCTTTTTATACCAGGCTTTTGTCTTTCTTAAGATAAGATATGGCTGCATCAGCTGATCAGCCAAATCAACACCCCCATGTGCATTTTATAAGCCCTGATGCAAACAGGTTTGGTCTGTACTCTGCCTCGGACAGTGACGTCTGACATGCTTTCGTCATGGATGGTGGTTAGTATATTAACATCCTTCCTGTCCTTAAATTTTATTGCAAGCACTTTAGCTTTGTGCAGACCTTTACATTCACTTTTTTTTAATTTGGCCTCTATAAAAGGTCTGGGGAAATCCTTGGCATATCTTCTCACACTGCCACAGGCCGGTATCTAGAAACCCTAAAGAGTTTGAAACAAACGGACAATGCTATAAAAATTGTCCACATAAAGGTGGTAACCCTTATTGAACAAGGGGATCAGTAAGTCAAAAACAAGTTTCCCGCTTGTCCCCAGAGAGTCAGTACAGCCACTTTCGCTCTCGCACAGTTTGTAGAATTTTACGCCATACCTAAAGTGCTTTGAGAGGATGTATTGTTTGAATCCTAGTCTCCCTTTATATTTCATTAACGATTCATCAATAGATACATTTTTTGAGGAGTATAAACTTCAGTAAATTTGTGCTAAAGATGGTCTACCAGTGGGTGTATTTTATGAAGCCTATCATATTGGGTGTGATCTCTGGGGTGACAGAGGGTATTGTCATTGAAATGTAAGTATCTCAGCAGCAGCTCAAATCTTGTTCTAGACATGGTTTGAGAGTACACTGGACTAGAACAGATTGGGTTGGTGCTCCAGTAAGGGCGAATTGATGGCTTCTTTATAATCCCCATGAGAATTGTAAGAGCCCAGAATTTTTTAAGTTCAGCGACATCTGTGGGATGCCAAGCACACTCCTCCCTGACTGCATAGCTATCTGGATTAGTATCAATAAATTGGGTAGCATATAAATTAGTCTGGGGAGCAATCACCTCCCAGATGGTATCCCCTAAAAATAGCTCCATATATTGCATAGGGGAGAAGTCATCCACACTGACATTAATGCCTGTGTTGGCACTAAAAGGGGTGATTTGGGGCTCAACTAACTGTGGAGAAACCCGTTCCTCCTCCACATTCAGCGTAGCAGAGAAAACACAGCTTCTTTTTGCAGCTGGCTCACACACAGATGACATGTCAGAAAACTGACCTGGGTCAAAATCGGACGCAGTGTCAGTGGAGTCAGAGTCTGACTAACACAGAGTTACTAACACACAATTTTTTTTATTTTATACTAAAAACAGACTAAAACTGATAAAAACAGACTAAATGAGACTAAAACTTCCGTTAGCAGCAATCTGTAAACTAACTCCTGCAAAAAGAATCTAACTGGAGATTTGGGGGAAGGATACTGACTTACATAAATTTGCTGCTTTCAAAATAAACAAAAATAAATAAATCAGGAACAAGTATTATAAAAATGTATTTTCTGTGTGGTAGACCTTAAAACATGCTCCAATACACAGTCCAGGTTTTGTAGGGCAATCGGGACAGTGAAAAGGGGTGTCTTTCCTTTTCCCTTTTTTATAACAGACCCGGCAACGTTTCTGGGGGTTTCTTTTTTTGGTGTTGGCGGTATCTTAAAAATAAAATGTCTAGACTCCTCTTGCACCGTTGTTGGAACTTGACCATCTCCATAAATTATTGTGGAAATCAGCTTGAACTGAAATTGGAGAAAGGTGGTTCTTCCTGGATTCATTCTTTTAAAAAGTAAAAATGAATTATGTGTTGCTACTTGCAACAGGTAGATAGCCACCTTTTTATACCAGGCTTTTGTCTTTCTTAAAGGACCACTATAGTGCCAGGAAAACACTCGTTTTCCTGGCACTATAGTGCCCTGAGGGTGCCCCCACCCTCAGGGTACCCCTCCTGCCTGGCTCTGGAAGGGGGAAAGGGGTTAAAACTTACCCTTTTCCAGCGCTGGCCGGGGAGCTCTCCTCCTCTGATCCTCCTCCGATCCGCCCCGTCGGCTGAATGCGCACGCGCGTTCAATGAGACAGCCGCTAGAGGCTTTGGGGGAAGGCTTAACCCATTGATAAACATAGCAGTTTCTCTGAAACTGCTATGTTTATAAAACAATGGGTTAAACCTAGCTGGACCTGGCACCCACACCACTTCATTAAGCTGAAGTGGTCTGGGTGCCTAGAGTGGTCCTTTAAGATAAGATATGGCTGCATCAGCTGATCAGCCAAATCAACACCCCCCATGTGCCTGTTATAAGCCCTGACGCACACCGGTTTTGTCTGTACCCTGCCTCGGACAGTGACGTCTGACATGCCTTCGTTATGGATGGTTGTTAGCATGTGAACATCCTTCCTGTCCTTAAATTTTAGCGCAAGCAGTTCAGCTTTGCGCAGAGCTTTGCATTCACCTTTTTTTAATTTGGCCTCTATGAGAGGTCTGGGGAAATCCTTGGCATTTCTTCTTACAGTGCCGCAGGCCAGTGTCTGCAAACTATAAAGAATTTTAAACAAGTGGACACTGCTGTAAAAATTGTCCACATAAAGGTGGTAACCCTTATTGAACAAGGGGATCAGTAGGTCCCAAACAAGTTTCCCACTTGTCCCCAGAGAGTCAGGACAGCCAGGAGGGTTCAGTTGAGCATCTTTCCCCTCTTATACACGAAAGGCAAATGTGTAGCCACTTTCGCTCTCGCACAGTTTGTACACTTTAATGCCATACCTAGACCGCTTTGAGGGGATATACTGTTTGAACCCTAATCTCCCTTTATATTTCATAAGGGATTCATCAATAGATAAATTTTGTTGGGGAGTATAAACTTCAGAAAATCTGTTCTGAAGATGGTCTACCAGTGGGCGTATTTTATGAAGCCTATCATATTGGGGGTGATCTCTGGGGTGACAGAGCGTATTGTCGTTGAAATGTAAGTATCTCAGCAGCAGCTCATATCTTGGTCTAGGCATTGTTTGGGAGAATATAGGAGTCGAACAAATTGGGTTGGTGCTCCAGTAAGAGTGGATTGATGGCTTCTTTATTATCCCCATGAGCATGGTAAGAGCCCAGAATGTTTTATGTTCATGGACATCTGTGGGATGCCAAGCATGCTCCCTGACTGTATAGCTACCTGGATTGGTCTCAATAAATTGTGTAGCGTATAAATGAGTCTGGGAAGCAATCTCCTCCCAGATGGTATCCCCTAAAAATAACTCCATATATTGTATAGGGGAGAAGTCATCCACATTCACATTAATGCCTATGTTGGCACTAAAAGGGGGGATGTTGGGCTCAGCTAACTGTGGAGGTACCCAGTCCTCCTCCACATTCAGCGTAGCAGGGGAAGCACAGCTTCTTTTAGCAGCTGGCTCACACACAGATGACATGTCGCTAGACGTGCCGCTAAACTGACCTGGGTCAAAATCGGACGCAGTGTCAGTGGCATCAGAGTCTGATGCCAAGAAGGCATATGCCTCCTCCAAGCTGTACATGCGCTGCATGTTTCACACTAACAGACTAAACTAACAAAATACTAAACACAATAATTTTTTTTTATTATTTTTTTTTTTAACACTAAAACAGACTAAAACATTCTAAAACAGTCATCCCTAAACAAACTCCTGTTAGAAGAATCTAATGGAGATTTGGGGGAAGGAAACTGACTGACTACGACAGACTACGACAGTCTAAGACAGTCTAAGACACAGATTTTTAAAAATAAAGTTAACCCTTAAGGGCAAAAAAAAAATACAGACAGTACAAATGCACTGTCTGTAACAGATCTGGCAGGGAAGGGGTTAAAATAGGATTTTTATTCACTGCTGATACTTTTTAATACTTTCTGGAACAGCTGCTGCAACAAAATATCACGATCTCTGTCTCTCTCCTCTCACAAAATGCTACAGAGGGGAGAGAGGCAGAGATCAGTGTCAAAGTGAGTGTTTGTAACACCCACTTTGACACCAGCCAATTGTGAGCGATCGCGGATCGCTCACATGCCGCAATTGGCTGTTACTATCTGCCTGGGATGCCGGGCAGATAGTAACAACGGGATTTTGGCGGAAGTGATCTCTGATCGCTCCCGCCGCCCGTTTTCCGTTAGGACGGTTCAGGACCGTCCTCGGTCGGCAACGCAAAAATGCCGAGGACGGTCCTGAACCGTCCTGTGTCCTGAAGGGGTTAAGCACTTTATGCCATTGCACTGTGATTGTATATATATTGTGTGCTGCCTAAATACTTACACCTATAGCAGAGCTCTAAAGTGCAAAAGAAGTAAAATGGGGTAACTACCCCATGTGTGTATATAGATATACAAGGGGCTATATCCAGTACATAAAAGACAAAAAAACAAAAATATAGTGTAGATGTTAATTACAGGTATACAGTATACAGATACTCCTCACTTACGGACTGGGTTCAGTTCTTACGACCAGGTCGTAAAACGAATTGGATGCGTGCAGGTCTATGTTCGGGGAAATTTCTCCGAACATAGACAAGTGCAGCAGAGCAGGGAATCCCTCAAATCTATGTTCGGGGAAAATTCCCCGAACATAGACCAGTTCCCTAATTTAGGGAATCCCTTGAATTCCCACACTAGAGAGCTGGTCCTAAGTGTGAGATGTAGTAAAACAGGTAGGTTGAGAATATTTATAGGGTAATACATGTTAAAAAAATATTTTATAAAAATTATCAAAAATGTATTTAATAAATGTTTATTAATATCAAAAATGTAAATATTGGTACTGTTTCCCCTTGATTGATTTAATGCGAAGAGTTACACACTATTTTAACTCTTATGGAACCTAGAGTACGTTTATTAGATGTCAGGATTACTAGTTGATCCAGCACGTAGAATTGTGTCACACAGATGACTAATAGGTAACGTATTACCGGGCCTTAGAATGTCAGGACTTAACGTACCAAAGAGTAGTCAGGATACTTGCCGAGGTCAGGGGATACAGAAAGAGACACAACGATAAGGGAATGCCAGAAGTCAGGGATAGAAACATAGAAACATAGAATGTGACGGCAGATAAGAACCATTCGGCCCATCTAGTCTGCCCAATTTTCTAAAAACTTTCATTAGTCCCTAGCCTTATCTTATAGTTAGGATAGCCTTATGCCTATCCCATCCATGCTTAAACTCCTTTACTGTGTTAACCTCTACCACTTCAGCTGGAAGGCTATTCCATGCATCCACTACCCTCTCAGTAAAGTAATACTTCCTGATATTATTTTTAAACCTTTGTCCCTCTAATTTAAGACTATGTCCTCTTGTTGTGGTAGTTTTTCTTCTTTTAAATATAGTCTCCTCCTTTACTGTGTTGATTCCCTTTATATATTTAAATGTTTCTATCATATCCCCCCTGTCTCGTCTTTCCTCCAAGCTATACATGTTAAGATCCTTTAACCTTTCCTGGTAAGTTTTATCCCGCAATCCATGAACCAGTTTAGTAGCCCTTCTCTGAACCCTCTCTAAGGTATCAATATCCTTCTGAAGATACGGTCTCCAGTACTGTGTACAATACTCCAAGTGAGGTCTCACCAGTGTTCTGTACAATGGCATGAGCACTTCCCTCTTTCTACTGCTAATACCTCTCCCTATACAACCAAGCATTCTGCTAGCATTTCCTGCTGCTCTATTACATTGTCTGCCTACCTTTAAGTCATCAGAAATAATCACCCCTAAATCCCTTTCCTCATATGTTGAGGTTAGGACTCTATCAAATATTCTGTACTCTGCCCTTGGGTTTTTACGTCCAAGATGCATTATCTTGCACTTATCCACATTAAATGTCAGTTGCCACAATTCTGACCATTTTTCTAGTTTACCTAAATCATTTGTCATTTGGCTTATCCCTCCTGGAACATCAACCCTGTTACATATCTTAGTATCATCAGCAAAAAGACATACCTTACCATCAAGACCTTCTGCAATATCACTAATAAAAATATTAAAGAGAATGGGTCCAAGTACAGATCCCTGAGGTACCCCACTGGTGACAAGTCCAAGCTTCGAATATATTCCATTAACTACAACCCTCTGTTGCCTGTCACTCAGCCACTGCCTTACCCATTCAACAATATTGAATCCAAACTTAAAGATTGCAGTTTATTGATAAGCCTTCTATGTGCAACAGTGTCAAAAGCCTTACTGAAATCTAGGTAAGCAATGTCTACTGCACCACCCTGATCTATAGTTTTAGTTACACAATCAAAAAAATCAATAAGATTAGTTTGGCATGATCTCCCTGAAGTAAACCCATGTTGTCTCTGATCTTGAAATCCATGTGTTTTTAGATGTTCATCAATCTTATCCTTTAACATGGTTTCCATCACTTTCCCCACTACTGAAGTAAGGCTTACTGGCCTATAGTTGCCCGACTCCTCCCTATTACCTTTCTTGTAAATGGGCACAACATTAGCTAACTTCCAATCTTCTGGGACTACTCCTGTTAACAATGATTGGTTAAATAAATCTGTTAATGGTTTTGCTAGTACACCACTAAGCTCTTTTAATAGCTTTGGGTGTTTCCATCAGGTCCCATTGACTTATTTGTCTTTACTTTTGACAGTTGAAATAGAACCTCTTCCTCTGTAAACTCACGTGTAATAAATGACCCATTTATCCTTTTTCTCAACTGAGGTCCCTTTCCTTCATTTTCTTCTGTAAATACAGAACAAAAATATTCATTGAGGCAGTCAGCCTGACCTTTATCCTCTTCTACATACCTTCCTTCTTTTGTTTTTAATCTAACTAATCCTTGTTTTACTTTTCTTTTCTCATTTATGTATCTAAAAAATGTTTTATCCCCCTTTTTTACTGACTGTATTTTCTCTTCTGTGTGTGATTTGGAAGCTCTTATAACTTGCTTAGCCTCTTTCTGCCTAATCTTATAGATCATTTTGTCTCCCTCACTCTGGGTTTTTTTATAATTTCTAAATGCTAACTTTTTGTTTTTAACTATTTTGGCCACATCTGCGGAGTACCACAGTGGTTTCTTGAATTTTTTGCTTTTACTGACAAACCTAATGCAATTTTCTGTTGCCTTCAATAGTGCAACTTTTAAATAATCCCATTTTTCTTGGACTCCATTTAAATTGCTCCAGTCTGATAATGACTCCTCTACCCATATTCTAATTTTAGAAAAGTCTGTTTTTCTAAAGTCTAAAACTTTTGTTTTTGTGTGGTGTGACTTTTAAACCACACTGACTGATGATCACTGGATCCTAAACTTTCACCTACAGTAACATCTGATACCAAATATCCATTTGTTAACACTAAATCTAGTATGGCCTCTTTACGAGTTGGCTCCTCAACAACTTGTTTTAGAGACAATCCCAGTAGGGAGTTTAGAATATGTGTGCTCCTGGCACAAGTAGCTAATTTTGTTTTCCAATTTACATCAGGAAGATTAAAGTCACCCATGATGATAACTTCCCCCTTCGTTGTCATTTTAGCTATTTCCTCAACTAGTAGATTATCTAACTCTTCAATTTGTCCTGGGGGCCTATAAATCACACCTACACGAGTTACTGTGTGATTATCAAATTCTAACGTAGCCCAAACGGACTCTATGTTTGCCTCACTTACTTTTATTAGGCTAGATTTTATGCTATCCTTCACATACAAGGCCAACCCTCCCCCTTTCTTGCCTTCCCTATCTTTCCTATATAAAGAGTACCCTGGTATTACTATGTCCCAGTCATTTTTCTCATTGTACCATGTCTCAGTAACAGCGACTAAATCTACACTATCAGTTGCCATTATTGCCACAAGTTCATGGATCTTATTTCCTAAACTGCGAGCATTTGTAGACATGACTCTAAGCTTATCATTTTTTAACACACTTGCTACAGGCACCTTCTGTCCTTGTTTTGGGGACAATTGGATTGATGTTTTATCACCCTTTTGCCCCCCCCTCCTAGTTTTAATACATCCTAGCAAAACCTCTGAACTGCTCACTGAGAACATTTGTTCCCTTTTGAGAAAGATGCAAACCATCTTTTTTGTACAGCTTATCTCCATTCCAAACAGAGCTACCATGAGAAATAAAGCCAAATCCTTGCTCCCGACACCATTCACCATGCCACAAATTAAAGTCCCTAATACGCATCCGCCTGTCGTTCTGAGTGTTATGCACAGGCAGAACTTCAGAGAATGACAGTGTGGAAGCAACCTGCCGTGTATCATTGGCAAAAACACTAAAAACTTCCTTAACCTCTGAAACCTCATTGCAAGCCAAGTCATTTGTCCCTAGATGGACAAGTACATTCAATTCCCCTTCCTGCTTTGCTTGCTTAACAATATTACAGATACGTCTCCTGTCTCTGTGAGCAGTAGCTCCGGGAAGACACCTCACAAGACCACCATTGTCCATCTCCACACCTCTTATAATGGAATCACGCAACAACAACTGCTTTCTATTAGGCCTCACCATAGTCTCCAAGGCGGTCTCCACAACACCACTAGCCTCAGAATACAGGGAATGCAAATTCAAAGCCAAAGTCAAAAACCAGAAGAAACTTGAATCAGGAACGCGCTCTCAGACAGCCACTAGGGAAACCACGAGAGGGCACTGAGCAGGATGAGAACTGGGCCTAAATACCCCTCCTATGGATCTGATAGGCTGTAATCGACCTTTGACCCCAAAGGCAGTTGCCAGGTTCCTATTTGCATAATTGCGGCTCAGCACAAACCCTCCTGTAGATTTGATTGCTACTCAGCCCAACTTTTCCTGTCAGAACAGTAATTGTCATTAATCACATTTTCATATGCGGATGAATACGTGACATTACCCCCCACCTGAAGAACGCCCACCGGGTGGGGAGCACCAGGCTTGAGAGGAAACTTGGCGTGAAAATAGCGAATCTTGCAGCCAGCATGTATATCAGATGCCGGAACCCAAGAACGATCAGCTGGTCCATAACCTTTCCAATCCACCAAGTACTGTAAAGTGCCCGTGAAAACCTGGAATCAATTATCGAAGAGACTTCATACTCTTCCTGTCCAGAAACAACTAAGGGGGGAGGAGGGACACTTGAGACAGTATATTTACAAGAGGTTTGAGTAGCGACACATGAAAGGTATTTGGAATACGTAATGAGGCTGGGAGGGCCAGATAATATGCCACAGAGTTAATCCTCCGAAGGATACGTAAGGGGCCCAGGAATCTGGGCGCAAACTTCATACTAGGAACTTTCAATCTGATGTTGTGCGATGATAACCATACCCTGTCACCCACTTGGTAAATGGGGTTGGCACCCCTCCGTTTATCCGCATAGAACTTGAAGCGATTAGCCGCATCTTTGAGAGCAGAATGAACTTTGGTCCAAGTATCACGGATAGATGAAAGGTGATCATCCAAAGCAGGGATAGTTGTCTCGGAGAAAACAGCCGGCAGGGCAGTAGGATGACGACTGTTATTAACAAAGAATGGGCTTTGACCAGAAGAGTCATGGGTAGCATTGTTCCTAGCAAACCCGGCCCAGGGTAGTAATTCGGACCAATTATCTTGAGTGCTATTTACAAAACAATGCAGATATAACTCGAATGACTGGTTAGCCCTCTCAACCATGCCATTAGTTTGGGGATGGTAAGCGGAAGAAAAAGACAATTCAATGCCCAACTGTTTGGTGAACGTCTTCCAAAACTGAGACACAAACCGAGAGCCCCTATCAGACACAATATTGTGAGGAATGCCATGCAGTCGGAAAATTTCATGTATAAAGATAAGAACCAGGTCTTGAGAGGATGGCAATTTTTTAAGTGGAATAAAATGAGCCATCTTGGAGAAACGGTCAACCACCATGATTGTATAGCCATTGGAACTTGGAAGTTCAACGATGAAGTCCATTGACAAGTGGGACCATGGAACACTAGGTACAGGAAGTGGTTGCAACAAACCACAAGGAAGCTTATGATGGACCTTAGAAACAGCACAAACTGAACAAGCCTGCACATAGTCCTTCCTCAGTATAAAAATCTCTCCTTACACCCACTTCACTCATCCCCCCATCCACATATGCCCCTCTCTGCTACACTTCCCCCTTCTCTCATCTCATGTCTTACACTCATTTTTCTACTCTCTCACTCTGACCCACAATCGATCACATCCTAGACCCCATGCATACAAAACCCATTCACACCTCCTGTCACTTTCTCTCCTCCTACTTCTAGCAGCTGGTTATGTCTCTCCCAATCCAGGGCACACTAAGACAACCAGAAACCCCAGAAACCTCATCACAATACCCTGCCCTTTACCCTCACTTACCAAAATTCAATGTGCACTCTGGAATGCCCGCTCCATCTGCAGTAATTTTGTCAGGGCTCCGCGGGTGGCTGTGAGGGGACGCTGCAATCCACTTGCAGAACTCACCCTCAGTCCTTCGCTGCCCGCGGTCTCCCCTTCCCCTACCTGTCGCGAGCAGCGTCCTCACAGCTGTATGCGCAGCTCGCGTCCTCCTCCTCGCCTCCCAGCGGCAGCATGTATAATGCTGCATGCTGGGAGCCCGTGCATTTATGCAAACGCCGGGGTCAGTCACGTGACCCGGCGTTAAAGCCACAGTACCTTAATCACAGTGGGAGGTGTAAATATCTCCCACGTGTGATTGTTAATTCTGGTTGGAAGTTATCCAATCAGAATTAAGCACAGGATTTATATACTTACCTTTCCTGTCTCTCAGTGCCCTGTTGTGGTCTTGTGATACCTGTATTGCAGTTTGCTCGTGTTTCTCTCTGGTTACCGATTATTTGGCTTGTTATTCCGATTTTCCTGTATTCTCCATTACTTTGACCTCGGCTTGTTTCTCGTTCTCCTGTTTTCTGGCTCCCTTTACTTGGCTTATCTCCTGACTATTCTTAGTGTGCTTAACCCGGCCATTCTAAGAAACGGTATTGCACCCTTTACTTTCTGTGACCTGTTAGCGTGTTAGGTTCCCAAATCGTGACATTACAACAGGGCCACCATGGAACCTGCTGACATTCCACAGCTGTTAGTGAATCAGGAGGCTAGAATGGATGGTTTAGACCACCGTATGGATCAGTTTGCCCATGCTTTACAAACCATACTGGCTCGTACTGCCCACTTGCAACCTGCCGTTCAAGAAGCTGTTGCTGCTGTGCCAGAACCCATTCCTGATCCAGTACCCGTTCCTGCACACGTGGTTCACATGACGCCACCACAGCGCTATAGCGGTGATCCAGCATTGTGTCGTGGTTTCCTCAACCAAATTGATATTCATTTGGTGATGAATTCTCGTTCCTACCCCACTGATAGAACCATAATTGCTTTTTTAATTAACCACTTGTCCGGAAAAGCTTTAGTATGGGCTTATCCCATGTGGGAGAATACGTCCCCAATGTCCTTTGCAGACTTTTTGACAGCTTTCAAACGCACGGTTGCTTCTGCTGGCAAAGCT